TTGTGAGAAGATAGCATCGCTGCAGATGCTGGTTGTCCGAGGGAAATACCTTACTGCTGTCAGCAGTACGACTTCGCTCTCAGACCTTTAGTTGCTGCTTTTAATCTTACCGTTCTCCAATCGACCTGCCTGGCATTGTAGAACCTACAGGAACATATGTTCCAGCCAATATAGCTCGGTTGGGTCATCACGATAGGCTACGGTCAGTATGTCATCAACGTTTTACATAATATTCAGGATTAGCTGGTTGCCATGACATTTTTTGTTAACTAAAGATTGAAGTTTTTATTTTTTTTTAGAACATTTTGAATGAGAGTTCAGCGTCCACGTAACGTACTTCCGTTACTAAGAAATGGAAAAGTTATTTGTTAATGAATAATTTGTAATTTATTAAACTTTAATAAACATTTTAATGTGTTACGAATAAGTCTTAATTACAGCGATAGATCGGTTGTCCTTAAGTTTCTTTGGCAGTGCGTTCACTGTGTGTAATTGACTGGAAAAAATGAAATACCTGAGTAGAAACTTATAGGTAGTTATAATCGCCAGGCTCTTCTGTGATATCTGTCGAAAAATATGGAGGCGTTTTGTATAATTCCACCGAAATCGCGCAAAATTTTCCGCTTTCATAAATAAATAGACGAATTTTTTCAAAAATGTAATAAAATTTTGGAGTTTTTGTCCTATTTCTCCAAAATTGGGATATTGGGTTCAGAGATCACAATACATCTGATTGATTGATTTATGATTATATAAACGAAGTTCATATTATTCACTGAATACTGATATATTAGTGGAATCGAAATAACATACGTTATGTGACGAAAGATCGTGAGTTCTTTAATTTGGTACCACCTATCGTGGACAAATGATTATCTTATTATTCGAACTCGTCCAAACAAAGTGTGATGACACAATGTGAGTTACTGAGAAAAATGTTATAAATCGTTCAGTTAATTTTAGTGTTCGCCAATCGAATAAAATACTCGACATACGCTTACGTTCAGGAGATAGTTCGAAACCAAAAACAATTCTTCTTACTGGATTTTTCATAATAGACACGATAAAGTTGTGTGGCAAAAGATAAATCATGTAATTATATGGATTCGAAGATCAGTTACTATCTGAATATGGTTTTCATCATAAACTGACTCTGATTAATCAACCAGTGAAAAAGCTATCTTGGTCTAGTATGAACACGATCATAATAGAGATAAAAGCCATAGGTGTCAATACTCAAAGACCCAATCGTGCCATCTAGATTACTGAACTTTATTTCATTTGTGCATATTTCCAATGTCGATAGATTCGTGATATAGCGAGTTGATCATTCATTGTAGTTGGGGATTCCTATCCAACTCTTATCACAACCGAGCTAAAACATTGACAGCTAAGAAAAATTTCATAATTGTTATCCTTTCTATCGCAGAAGGCTTCTGGATAGATTCGTGTACTTTGAATAAGATAATCACAGCACAGCTCTTTGTTAGCGTCAACTAAATTCAACAGTGTTAGAAAGTCAGAACAAATGATTCAATTTGTCGACCATGGGAAGGATTTTTGCCCAGATTTAGACTATATAATCTTAAAAAAGGAATTAAAATGTGCTACGGATCTACCGGGAATCTTAAGACATTGGGTAGCTATTTAATTTTGTCTTTATATTATCAACTGATGCTTGAATGTGACCGCATAAAACTTTTAAGTTTCACAAAAATAATATCGACAATCTTCCGCATTTTAGTGAAGTTGGGTTCCAACTAAAGACGAGAATCAGGACACACATTCTGTCCTATTTGAGGCTCGTCAGATGGATGTATCTGGATCTTAGTTTTGATGATCACAAGGCGATTCAACCCATTACCTGTCATATCAAAGGTCAATGTGTTTTTCACTCAGCTTCTGAATACGAGTATCAAATTACAAACCCTTACAAATAGTCTCTATCAGCTATATAGGTTCAGTTTGCGATATAGTGCAGCAGTCACTTAATCGGTAAGAATCTGCTATCATTAACAATATGATTCAACGTGGTTTATCAAACTCAAATCGGGACTAACTAAATATGAGTTATATTTCTAAGTTCCAAGATTTCTGTGTTGAATGTTTCTTCACTTAATATATATGAATCCGATTTAATCTTATTTCACCTTGATAAGCTGTTCCTCTTAATCATTTCCGGAAAGAAGCCAGAGCTGGGTTGTCAGACGAAAAGTCAAGACAGTTTTTATTTAGAAAACTGTTGTATTCTATGAGCTACTGTATTAAAATTGTATGTCTGATGCTTTTACCTATTCGACGAATCATTTTTGTATGGCTGTTTCTTTAAACGTTGACATATATCCAGACAAAATTGAAGATTTCCGTTTTGAACATAATTGTTACCTACACTGATTCATACTGAGAAGCTATTTTTATCTTCATATTTAATAGACAGCAAGAACAACAATTCGAGCAGAATAAAATGAATTCATTTTATTTCTTTTAGTTTCTTAGATTTTTATGCATCCTTACCACATTTTACTTTTAAGTATTCAAACTAACCCTCAAAATGAGCTCATTTACGAAAGTAATCTCAATATATTTGTAACTAGGATTTTTTAAAATTTTATAGATTGTAATCAGCTGATGGGACCCCAAAGAAATGAATTAGTTTATGTCAAGTAGAAACAGGTATTTTCCTCAGTACAATGAAAGATAGTTGCGCAATTTCATGAATTGGTTGAGGTTAAACATTAACACCACTGGATGCTGGCTCAGTGTTCTCGATGTTAAGCGTTCGCGTACGAAACCAAATGTCGTCGGGTCGAATCTCGCTAGCGGGATCGTGGTTGCGCACTGCTGAGGAATCCCACAATAGGATGAAATGGCCGTTCACTGCTTCCAGGTTTTCAATTACGATCTAACATCAAACAGTTCATGATCTCAATCAACATTTTTTATTGATAACTTTTTAACTAGTTTAATAAAACAAATTCATATTATGTAAGACCAAACAAAAATCACTGGCAAAACAAAAAAACAACAATTTTATACATACTAACGAGATTGGTTAATACACAATTGAGTTGTTTCTATGCATTGTGTCTACAAAAATAATTGTATTTAAATATGAAGTGTATTATTTATTATAATAAATCAATTCCATTACGACGATAAAATTCACTTTCCACTAGCATAATTCGAACATGTTTACGATCATTATTTTCAATATTTTTATTTAAACGATGTCCATATATTGATGATGAAAGTGTTGGTATATCTTTAGTTTTCTCCTATAATGAAATAAGTTAATTTTAATTGAATAGGTTCAATAAACAAATACAGTAATTATAGAAGATGAAGATCATGGATCGATTGATATTAGGCCACCATTGAAAACCTGGAAGCAATGGACGACCGTTTCGTTCATGTGCTCATCAGTGGCTAGGTTCGTGTGGGAATTCTCCGAGTTCTAGTGAGAAGTTGTGACCAGTGGAGCTAATCCGTGTCGGGGAGAGACAGGTATCTACCTGGGTACAGTGGAGGATGGTCGTAAAATTTGATGGATTGGTTGACATTAGATATTAACACCACTGGATGCTGGCTCAGTGGTCTCGATAATTAAGCGTTCAGGTGAGGGACGAAATGTCCTCGGGTTAAATCTCGCTAGCGGGATCGTGGATGCGCCCTGCTGAGGAGTTGAACAATAAGATTAAACGGCCGCTCACTGCTTCTAGGTTTTCAATGGTGGTCTAACATCAATCAAAAACTTAATAATCTCCAAAACCCTATATTGATAATTATGGAAAAAAAAATTAGAAATGATGCTTTAATTATGGAGAAGATTTTCAGAAGTTGATAAAACTGGCTATTTGTTCAAATGAATAAATTAAGCCTTCAGAAAGTGATCAGTGATGATAATTGATCTATGAATTTATAATCTATAATTCCTACAGCCGAAAGAAGTGAACTCTAATATTCTCACACCATAAATCATCAGGTAAATACAAGAATGTGACAAAAGCATTTAACAATAGATATCCACCTTTATGCTATGAATATTATTGGGCTTTAAGATATGACGACATAAGAAGATGAAATTATTTGGCTTAGTGATTTTTTGTATCAGCTCACTACTAATCTCGGCTAGGGAGACAGGTAATGAGATTCGTTTAGTGTGATATTCTGAGGTCAGTATTTTCTTACATTAATCTCGTATTAACTTTGGTTTGGAAGATCTGAACTTTTGTTCAATGTAACGATTGTGTTTCCCGTATTGTTTTATGTGAACTATACTCAATGTGTGTATTTTCATAGTAACACTATATACCCTGTCCCTCTGTGTGATAATACTAATCATAGTAGCTCCCATTCGAATTTCGCAACAGTAACCTTTACATCTACGGAATTCTTCGTGATTGGCAATGTCTTTAAACAGCCTGGGAGCAAGTCGTCCATCTGTAGAGTTTGAGATTTTGTGCAACACGAAGACACCGACTAAAGGCAAAATCTTTGAGTGATCGGTTTCAATTTAGCGCCGTAAGAACTCCGAAGTTACAGGCTCTATTAAATATTTGTTCGTGATTACGGACTGCTAAAAACTCTCAAACTGTTAAAAAGCAGTTGTCTGGTGTGCCATGGCCTACTACACATCTTTAGGTCTTGTTGTGATCACGATAAATAACTCAGAATATAAATAGAGCAAGAATAAACATGGATGCAGAATAGTATGAATTCATATTATTTCGAGGTTTCTCGTCAGCTGCTTACAAACCAAAATTGTGATAGAATTTTTACATGGAGATAGTGTGAAACAAGTGACATAAATGAGTGTAAATAACGTGATTACAATAATAACTATATATATATATGCTAGAAACAGGTCAGAGGTCAAAAGAGGGGGGTTAATCCAGGGTGGGTGGTTTAATAATTCAGTGAAGTACATAAACTGTGTGATAATTGTAGAGATTAATGGAATTAAATAATGATAAGGTAGATTACGTAATAATAATTAAATAGGGTTTGGAAAGTTAAGATGATTTAAGAGGATCAGGTGACGGAAATGTGTGAATAAAATTTATTTTATTTTAAGAATTCGGTAATAGGGGGGGATATAAATGATCTTAGAATAAGTAAATGAATAAAATAACCAAAACACAAAACAAACAGAAACAAAAGGATTACCAGGGTAGTGATAAGTTTATTAAAGTCTCTTTTTGGATGCATAAGTCCGGTTTCAGTTTCTTAATTGCAATGGCTTCAGCAAAGCGGAGAGTGGTAGTAGTTCCCGTAATATATATTCTATAGAACATAAACAGCCGGTCTCAGTCCTATAATGTTTGGGACTTAAGATCGTGATACTTTATTTAGCTGTGAAATATGCAATTGGATGTTTAAAGATTATCTCTGGTCACACTTGAAATTATTCCAAAGTTCAATCCATCGGTAAATCAGACACATTCTGTTTTTCCTCTGAAGTTATTAATGGCATCAATACAACCTAAAGAAAATATATTGTTTATGAATATCTTCAAAATGTGCCATTACAATACTCGAAGGAAAATATAATGGTAATGAGCCTCCATATTTTGACTTCAAGTCAGCTGTGAAGTTATAAGTCATTGAATAAGATGCAACATTCAATTTTTTGACTTCTGGTTGCATGTTTCACAATAAACGCTAACAGCCAGACATTTGTTCGGAAATTTCTCACAAACAAAATTATGTATTCTAATGTGGAAGTCAATATTGGAACATATCGTCATAAAAAAATATGTAGTATTTAACTCACTTCTTGGTTTATTTCCAATCCAATAAGTTTATCATGCCTGCGATCACTGCGATGAAGCTTTGGATTGAAATCATCCTCTTTAGAAAAGATTGAATCATATATGCAAGGATTTCCTTGTTTCTAAAATAATAATAATCTTCCAAAATTACTTTTATTGAACACTCATGTAATAAAATGACATGATTTGATTTTTAAATTATGGTTTATCTTATGCCATTAGCTATATGACTATCGCAAAATACGATTGCCCATTTATATATGATGACTTATACTATCCAACTAATGACGCATACACCGGTATATAGAGTCTAGAGTTCCGATTAGTCCTTTTTCCTCTTAACACTGCCTGTTAAGTTCAGACCGCTCATCTCATCCTTCAAGATAAGAATCATATATTTCAGACATACTTCGTTTATATACAGGCAAAATCACACCACAAAATAGAAAATAACATTTGTACACGATCGAGCCAAAAGTGGCTGTGATTATGAGAAAATGTGACTAATTGATTGAGGATAACTTGAGATTAGTAAATCATATAACGGTAACCAACAAGTCAAATAAAAGCTTATAATAAGAGGAATATAATTGTATGTAGTTTAGTTTCTTAACGGTTATACACTAAGGATATATATACAATATTTCAGAAATAATTTCTAACCGTAGCCATTCAGTTATTCACGTCCGGATATAAGTTTCAATTTTTTAATCTCAATATGAAACTTGAAGCAAAAAGGAGTTAAAATAACTTAGCAAGCGTTGTTACTACTTCTTTTCTAAGCCTGACCAGCTCGCTTGTAAAGTACACTGAATATTGTTTCGATGGATAAATTCAATTTGTGTAAGACTATATGCTACTCTATGAGTGTTACCGTTCAGCATAACCTTCTAGGGCCACAGTTGGTTAATGTCAAAAATGTTTATTATAAGAGCAGTTTTGTTAAATCTACAGACAATCACCAACGATTTGGGACTTGCGAAAAATAAGGGATAGTTTACAATGCTGTACTTTGCGCCAGTACATTATAAAAAATAATAGCATCTATGATAGTACGGAAACTAATAATAAAAAATAGAGTTCGAAAAGAGTGGATATTATCACATTGCATAAATTCGTGGGATGTGTTACATCATCTCAGACCACCCGTGTTTTTATAGAACCACTGACGGGACAATAAAACAAGTTAACCAGTTCGATCTAAAAAGTAATTAAATGTAGAAGTTGTTGGCCAAAAAACGCAATACTTGACACATTGGAAAACACTGCCATCAAACTAGGAGACCAGTTTAAGAATAAGCAAGTTGTTTCGGTGAACCACTTCTAAGCAAACATAGAGTGCATGTTATGTGAATTTGAATATAATGCCCAAACTTTAATACGTAAGTAATTTGGGTATTAAATGAAAACAAAGCTATAAACTGTTGATTATGAAAACAGAGGGAAGTCTAAAATATCAATTCTGGTCATCATATATTTATGACTCAATACTGTTGATTAGATTCAATGCAACAACTTTTTAAGAATTCATCATGAATAACCAACAGGTGACTCAGACATACTAGAAAAGGTACAGAGGGCAGCTACGCGTGCAATTCCGGAACTCCGGGGTTTATCATATAGAGCCTCTCAGCGGCTTGAAAAACTGAACCTCTTTACTCTGACCTATCGCAGACTAAGGGGCGATCTAATATTGATGTACAGAATACTAAGAAATGATTTCGGACTTAACTTATTCTTTCGCTTTCTTCCTACTAGATCGGGACACCTCAGAGGACATAGCAGGTGAGTAGAAAAGCCAAGAACGAACAAAATACCTGTGGCATACAGGTTTTCACACCGAGTCATCAATACTTGGAACCTGCTGCCTGAAGCAGTGGTGTCCGCACCTTCAATTGACTCTTTCAAGAGAAGACTGGACACTCACAGAAGCATACTAGAAAAGGAATAACATAGGCCGTAGGCCTTCTGTCCTTACTACACAAATCTGAATCTGATATCATGTGGCATCTTAGCTAAGCCGTTTAAGGCCTTCAAAGGGTCTAGTTCATAAATAAGTGATTTCACATCTGATAAGACACTAAATATGATTTTATGAGATTTCCTTGTTTTAAACATTAAATATACCTTCTCAGAAGAGTTAAAATATGTTCTGTCTTTCGGCAAATCCCGATGTGCAGGAACATGGGAAAAGGCAGAAAGAGAACACAGATGACCCTCCAGATGAAATGTTTCTCCATTACTAACAACGTCAAGCTGTGCTAGCTCATTGGGTGTCGTCATGTCTTGAAAGAGAGTTGTTTAGAAAGTAGTCTTAAACAATACATCTGAACAATCCAATATTCAATATCTTTGCAATGAGCTTGAAAAACCGATTGATCTTTTTGTTCTTGTTTCTTTTTATTCAGTGCAACTCCAGGTGTGTTTATTTTCAACAGACGATGGTCTAGCCATTAGACTGCATTAATTTTAGTCAGCTAGGTAGTTATTTGTGGATTTGTATATTTTGTAATTAGGAATAGTGGGTTTGTTTCACAGCAGTGAGGCTTTCATATATCAGAAACTATCACATTACCAGGTAGGAGGTTGGTTTGTTATCATGTGAAAAATAGTAAGGCTATAATATTAGCGCTATGAGATGATCCTTTCAAGAAATAAGTAAATAAATGGTTTGAATTACCATCTGGAAAAAACAAGGTGATAGGTGGTCTGTGTTTGTCCTAGTACAAATGGTCTCTCAGTTGATCCGACTTTCTTTTGAAAGAGTAGACAGATGTGGATTCAACCAATTGTTTACTTGATGAATTCCACTCCTTGATGATTCGATGGGAAAGTTCAAAATCAGCCGACAACTAATTTGTCCTGTGTTTGTGAACTTTTTGGGAGTGCTCTCGTAAATTATTTGTTTTGGTAAACAAGGAAAGTGCGGGCATATAAAATGCAAACTTATCACTAAGTAATTTGAAAACTGCAACCAAGTGGCCTCTAGTTCTTCTATATGACAATGTCATTAGGACGAGTCTAACCAGTCGAGCACCATACGGGAGCTTCGCTTTTCCGGATATCAGTTTATTTGCTATTTTGTGAACCTTTGATAAAGGCCCACTGTCTTTTTTAAGTAGGGGTTAGCCATTCTTATGTAGTACTCCAGTTTAGGACGCACGAATACTGTATACCAAGTCAGAAAGATTTTAGCGTCGTCATGACTGAAAGCCCTACTTATTGACCATAAAGTTCTAAAACCTTCTGAAGATATCGCGCTACAGTGTGCAGTAGTTTTTAATTCTTGTTTAACAATGGCTTTTAAGTCATTGTGTGTCTGGACAACAGGTAGCTTGCTGTTCTTCACAGTATGTGTATCCGTACCTTGTAGATTAATGTGCATCACAATGAACTTGGAAGTATTTATCGGCAACTGACAGGTTTGAGATTTTTCATGTAATTTCACTACGTCATTTCGGAGCTCTAAACCATCACCTTTACATTTTATCGCTTCCCACATCCTGACGTCGTCGGCATATACCAAGACCGACGATGATACGAGACGAGGAATATCATATTCATACAGTAGGAACAAGTCACCCTGAAACTGTACCCTGGAGCACTCGACTAAACACAATTTCATAGCTAGACAACTTGAAATCCACCTGAATTCTCCGTCGACGCCCAACTAGGAACTCCGTTATCCACATTTATAGATCGCCTCCAATCCTGACACTACTACCGGATCAACCAAGGGAGAAAATCATCGGCATCACGTTCACCCAGTAACTGGTTGCAATATTACATGTTTAATGTGATTCATTTTCGATCTATGCAATGTGACAACTGGCTTTCCATACTTTAAATCTACTAAATAATTTAAATTCCGATAATGGTTCAGGCGAGTTTTCTTAGTAAAAATCCAGAGTCCAGATAAACACATGGCTCTAAACATTTGACCAATCCGAAACGATATTAATAATACAGAAACTCCATGGCCCAAACTGAACGTAAGTTTCGGGATCTTTGTCTTCGTTGTTTGGCAATGGAACTCTTGGACTGGAAATTAAGTAGGTTATAGTCAAAAGAAAAGATCTCAGGAGATAATCAGTAGTTTTGGATAGAGTAAAATGTCGAGTGCAGAAACAAGATAAAGGACTAGATGCAGACAACTATTCAGTTCTTTTCTTGCAATTTTAGTCGACGCGTATTTACGTATAAACTGGTGCTGGACGTTTTAAAAACTCTATTTCACTGAAGCATGTAAATGTTACTAAAGCTTATTGACGAGCCATACTAGCTAACCTTAGATACAACAACTAGTTATTAGTATAGGTCGAGTTAGTAAACTTTGAGTACAAAGCGACATTACAATACGATAATACACGTGAGCATCAATCAACAGACTAATAAAACAAAGGTAACGTAAGCAAAACTCGATCGATTGACTTGAAGTAAATATGGTAATTAGTGTCACGGGACAACTGAAGATATTTGTCTGACTAAAACCTTTATATTAAATGATATTAATTTTACTGTGTTTTTGGATGTATTTGTTTCACCGAAATTCTGAACTTGTTTGTTTATATCATTATTTTCGGAGATTTCGGTTTCTCTTTGTCGTTGGTTTTGAACTTGTGAGTTTTTGCTCCGGGAACCTACAAAATTAAAGTTTGGTTTTGTAACTATAATTATTATTGTTGGAACGACATTTGGGTCGACTATTTGTAAATTGCGAATAAAATTTGGTACTTAAACTGGAGTTTTGTTCTATTGATAATTTGGGTTCGTAAATTGAAAATAAATCGATATATCGTACTTCAATACGGGGAACGAGCAGAAACTTGGACGTGACAATTAGTAATAGGCTGTGTGTCTTCACTCGGCTTCACCTTTTTAGCCACTTGTGAAGATTTATCGTTTTTACTTTCGATGCCGTAAATGTTTTGTCAGGCAAAAGGTCAGAGAACCAATATGGTGGTTCATGATCTAGATAAGATGGTTTCAACCTATCAATACATACAAAGTCGATGTTTCCATGTTTCTCTATCATGGAATATTTCGATTTCCTTGAGATGTCTTTGAAAGGACCTACGAATGTAGGGGGCTAATCGGAGCCTTTCTTTTGTCACATTTTATCAAGATATGAGTGCAGTTGCTTAGGTCTTTAGGTACGTATGTTGCTTGTCATTGTCCACGAATACTAATTAGTTTAAGTCTGGACATATGGTCCCGTATTCGGTTTACGTAGTTCTCTAAAGTAAGGTTTTTGCTGTTAGTATTATGGTTAATAAACTCACCCGGTACTCTCAAGGTCGTTCCGAAAACTAGTTCCGCTGCTGAACATTGTGAGTCGGTTCTGACAGATGTTCGTATTCCCAACATAAATAATGGTAGGAATTCTGTCCGATGATTGGGATTTGAGTGTGATGTAAGGGCAGACTTTAGTTGACGGTGGAAACGTTTTACCATCCCATTAGCCTGAGGATGATATGCAGTGCAACGTATCCTATTAGAACCTACAACCTAGCTAAGTTGTTAAATAGTTCAGATTCAAACTGTGCTCCCCTTTCCGCCGTTATTGTTATACGCGTACCAAAAATGGTCACCCAGTTCTGCATGAAGACCTTAGCCACTTTTTCAGTTGTGATGTCCACTATCAGTATGAAAATAGGGAATCCCGTGAATCGATTTATACATGTAAACAGATAATTCAAACCATTCGGACGCGGTAAAGGGCCTCCTAAGTCTATATGCACATGAGCGAAACGTGGATCGGGCTATGAGAAAACGCCGATGGGTGAACTTTTATGACGGTTAACTTCGGGCTGGTTTCTAACCAGTTGGTTAAAAGTACCGCCCACTACTTTACCCGAAGCATCCACCACCAAGGCAAGTGGGGAAAAGGAATTCGGATACATCAAAGTAGATGCTCGAGCCAGTTTATCTTTTAGCTGTTTAATAGTCTCAACAACCTCAGAAGTCAGCTTCAATTCTTTTGGTGTTCCTTTAAGTGAAACTGTCAAAGGCTGCATTAGTTGTGCACAACTTGGTATGAATCTGCGATAGAAATTAATTGGAACTAGAGAACTTCTGAGTTGTTTTACAGCACTAGGTATGAGGTATTTTTTGATGGTGTTCACTTCTTTTGTGATAGGCGTAATCCCCTCTGGGCTTATTGTGTGTCTGGGAAATTCCAAAGTTCGGACATCAGAAGCATAGTTACTTTGATGTATGTTCATTCCATTTTTATCCAGCCGTTTTAACAATGCTCGTACATGATGTTCTTGTGATTGTAAATCGTGACTGGAAATTAACAAGTCGTCGATATACCCCTGTCCGAATGGCATATCACGAAGTAGGTTATCCACGAATCTTTGAAGTGTTTGTACTGCATTCCTCAGGTCGAATGGCATGCGCACAAACTTGAGCACGCCAAAAGGTGTAGTATTAGCTGTCTTGGGATATCTTCATCGGCTACCGGGCTATTGTGATTTGCTCTGACTAAGTCAATTTTATTAAATATGTTCATACCCTGCGAACTGTTTGTGAAATCTTGTATATACGGTATTAAGTACCTATCTGGTAAGGTTTGACGGTTGAGGGCCCTGTCATCCCTGCACGGTAGCAAATCTCTTTCATTTGGTGCCATATGCAAGGTGGATGCTCACTGACTATCAGAGGGACGGATAATACCCAGTTGTAGCATAGGGTCAAATTCATCTCTAGCGAATTTGAAATTATCTGATGCTAGTCTCTTGGGTTTGCAAACACCGGTGCACCTTCGGTTTCCATATTATGACTTACTATTTGTTGGCCTTTGAGTGTGGTCTATTTAGGTTTGGAAAATCCGCGAGTATATCTTTGAATTTTGCTGTTATTACTGGAGGAGTTTGTATTAATTTTAGAGATGTAATGTGACTTTCTTTGCCTTTTGGGTGATTCGATGTTTCTTTCAATGTTAAGCGGCATTTTTTAATTTCACCTGGAAATTCGTATCTCCTTAGAAAATCCGTCCCTAGTATTGCCAGATCTAATTCGGTTACAATCAAAACCGAGGAGAATTGCTTCCTGAACCTCAAATCTAGTGTGAAAGTCTTCTCTTCAAATGTCGCGATTTTAGTTTTATTGGTAGCTTGAAGAGTAGCTGGGGATGTTTCTCGACCCAGCTCAGTTCTATTTCGAGGATTGATACTAAGAGCTGCGCCAGTATCTACCAAGGTCAAGCCAAAGTTTCTGTCCCCAACATAAAACAAGCGACTGTTTAGGCGCCCCTCCTCAGTCGTCGCGAACTGGGGAGGGGTTTCTCGTTTCCTATATACTTGGGGTTTTGTTTAGGTCAGGCGCATGGTTGCATGCACTTAGTTGAATTGACATCAAACTTCCAGTGATATGAGCAGAACTGCTCTGATTGTTCGAACAGTTGTGGCATGTTTTGTGTCTTGGATCTTGGTCGTTGTGTCTCGTAAAATAATGCTCTGGTTGAGCAAACCGCAACCCATGGTCACTACGGTCAAATTCTGGAAGTCAGAATTTCGTAGTCAAAACAGGGTTTATCTCCATTGGTGAGAAATCTTCCAGGTTTCGGGTTAGCATTGAGTCTGACATGAGGTATGTAACGACCGAACTGCCAGTATTCGGTTTGAACGCCGGACTGACGAGCCAAAATGTTTTCGAATAGGCCAGACTACGTTCTTCTGCATAGCTTACAAAGCGTTTTCTAGACATTCGTATTAAATTGTATCAAAATACAAACTCTGTGCTCAATCTAAACAGTTCTAATTTAGGAAATAGGACAAATTATAATAAAATATGAAATACCTCAAACGGTACAGCCTGTGCTATACAGTCAAAAGTTTCTCTAACGCAACTTAGAGCGCCAAACAACAAAAGAAACAGTTAATACAAAAGACTTCAATGCCTGAGAATCATCGAAAATATTCTCAACAAGATGGGATCAGATGTCCGACTGCAATAATTCCAGAAATCTTCCCAAGCAGACAGTCGAAAATCAACAGTCACACACTGAACCACGCCATGACCTTGAACTTTATCAAACACGACCTCATGGTCAATAGTCTGTCAACATGCAATAGAAAATTAGGTAACAAAAGTTGAGTCCTTCATCAAAATCCCGCAACAAAAGTTCAGACGAGGAAGACTGAAGAACAAAAGGTGTGGTTAAAAGAGCTCTGAACAAAGGTTAAAATACACGACAGGGAGAAGAAACAAATAAATGACAGTACTGTCCAAAAAAAAGCTGCGGAAGGATTTTCATTGTTCTCTTTCCGCTACAAGGTATATGGCCAATATAGAAATAAAATCAGAACGAAAAATGACTGCAACAACACGCATACCTTAAGATAAAAAAGCTGTGTAAAAATATATATACCAAACTTTGATTAAGAATAATCAGAAGGTCTAGTTCTACGAATAGGTAAACAAATAATGTTAATAACAAAAATGAGGTTAAATTCGTGTTCAATAGGGCTCACCAGTTTCCTGGCTGTAGGTAACCTTCGTGTTATTGATAGAAGAAACCAGACTAATAGTGAATAGGTCTTTATTAATATCGTCGTGTAGTCACAGTGGAGTGTGAGATTACCTGTTCAAACACATCCAACATAAGATAATAGGAAATTTAATGTCTATAAAATATAAGGAAGTGACTGAAAAATTGAGCCCTATTGTTCTGACATATGCTTAGTTGTTCGAGGTCAACTTTTAACCGATCAATCTAAGCTGTTACACGCCAACCTAGAATTGTCGACTAGTTCGATATTAGTACATTTATCTTTGCTTCTGATCCCGAAATTGTTGAATAGTCATGACGTGACTATGTAGAACTATGGTATACTATGATATTAGTACTGCCCTAACAATAGACCTAATCCTAAAATTATAGACTTGTCATGATATAACTGCTAAATCTATAAGATCTTACGTGGAAGTTACATCATCGTCTACACCAACTCATTGCATCATAGCAATTACCAATACATGATGGAGAACAAGCTAAGCCTAGAGATAGGACAATATATTTAATATGGTTAAAATATATAAGATAACAGGGACCACGCCTGCATACCCGAGCCATGCCATTTGATCAACTCCAACTCATTCAATCCTTGTTCGCGCCTTCTCCGTGTTAAATATTGAATATCTATTTTCTGAGCAATCTCGTATCCAGCTTTGAAGATTGTGTGGTTATTGTCCAATGCTACTACAACTACCTAGAACTTAAGATTTTTATTGGAAGTCACATCATGGTCTACACCGGCTCGCCCTACGTGACAACCAGGAATGTGACATGTGGCATTTCTGAAGGATACATTCGGGCGGAGATGAGATTTATATATTTATATACAAAAAACAAGATGTTACATAGAGTGACCACACCTGTATGACCGGGTCGCGCCATTTCGACCGATTCTCCCCGCGTCCAGTATTTCAGACCTCCTTACCGTGTGAGTTGTTGAATGTGAATTTTTTCAGTTATCTTATGTTCAACTTCGAGTTTCGTGTTTTGAGATACAGCATCGTCACAATATAATAATTCCAGACGTTTGAATTATTCGTGTTACAGAGACTGTTAGGTGGCAAGTAATGTTGGTACCCAGGAAAATTGTTTTGTTGCACAGCTAGCTAACGAGAGTCAATAATAACTTTCAAAAAGTTATGATCTGTCAAAGTGAACTGCTGCAGAACAATAAATGATCTGGGCTTGATGTATCATAGGTTACAAAGTGATTTTGAACGAGATATATTCATTCTTTTTTTAAAAGTGGTTAGTACAACACGATGAACCTAGAAGTGAAGTTCAAGGGCTAAGAACGAACAAAGTACGCGTGGAACGCCTGTTTTATCACTATGAGGTTAACTTCAGAGACTTGCCACTGAAAGAACTTGTGGCGGCTCTCACAATACATTCATGCTAGGGTTCAGGCACACAGAAACTTGCTTGTAAGTAACTAACATAGACATTCATACTTCTACTCTTCGAATACAAATCCTAATAAGAAGTTCGTAAACTTCTGTAAATCAAACACTGAACCCCAAGGGATATCGGTACAATATTTCTGTCATATATCCGTCGTCGTCACTACTATATTGAAGATTAATACTAGAAAATTTCTATATATAAACGAGTTTAAACCTGGGACCAAATAAATCAACTGGAAATGAGATACTTCGGAAGTCACCAAGTATTAACGCTAAAGCACTTTAGTTTGCAGGAATTATAAAGTTAGAAATAGCGTACAAAATAATAGCTGCGTTACACAATAGTTAGGGTTTTGGCGGGTTGTTCGTTACTCAAAGTGTTCGTTGCCTCGTTCCAATTATTTGGTACGTTTGGGAGTAATGTTGTCGTGAAATGCTTCTTTGGTATAGTCTCCAGATTTCCAAAATGGATGTACATTTTCTAGCCACTTTGAAAGTATTGAAAGGCAAGAGGCTTATTAGAAAGAAAAGGATTGTAATTTCATTGACTTAAACTCACATCACACCAATTTCGTTTATTCCTTACAAAACTAGCATTATTTCTTCTTAATTCGGCTCACTTTAATGATTTCTACAAATTTTAAGACGTATCCTGAGCTCCCAATTTTGGGAAAGCCGCTACAGTAAACTTTGGGGAAATTCCCCAATATTTCCCCAAAATTCCCCTTTAGCCTTGGTGAAGGTCATTTGACTTTGGGAGTTTCCCCAAAATACTCCAAAATTTCCCCAAACTTGAGAAATTGGGATGGTCAATAACACACTATGCTGAATGTTTATTTGGGTAATCTGCCCTAACTGAGGTTTTGTGTTATGATGCTACTCACTGTTATCAATCGTCACTTATTTACATTTTGCGACTCGTCGCTTATCATTCGTTCTCACTGTGGAACGTGGCCTGTTTGCATTAGTTCACGTTAAACACTGAGGTCAGGTAATTAAGTCAGGTTCTTGGTTAGTAGTAGTATTGGTGTATGTCAAAAAGACTAGATACAGAACTAAGTGAACTGATAATAACGCTGTGCTGATTTACTGTTCGGAAATACAGGAGTGATGATGTTTTAGTCCAAAAGTTCAATTTTGCGAATTTATGAAAACATCAGTCGGTAATCGTCGTTGTCGGACTTGAGACGAATTTGCATTAGTCCTAGTTGCCGCAACCAACATAAATACGACGAGGGGGCAGTAGGTTAGGGAGCATCTGTTTGAAGACTAGAACCCAGTGGATATCTGAAGATGAGAAATACAATCCAAAACATGCATGCGAGTCGTGAAAATCTAAGAGCGATGTTTAGTTGAGAATTTAGAGACTGATGAGACAAACACTGCAAGCATCACATGTCTCAACTAGGAAATTTGCAATTGTCCACACTGTATATTAATAGTCAGTGACCTCATGTCCTAATGCTGGTTTAAGTTGTTAACTCTGAGCTTTTTTCCAACCTAGTTCAGTGCTAGCTAACATTGTCAGGGTAGGTGATAGTCAAGGTTTGTGTAGCAGATTTCCTAACCACGTTATTCAATGAATCTTTCTAGTCACACTAACGGGCTTAATGATTCATCATTTGTAACAATTCTAAAGTTTCTTACCAATCTTCATTGCTATTCAGACACTAACTAGGATTCCACTTGTATTTTGTTGCTCATAGGACGTATTTATTTGTTTATTTAAACACATAGACATCGGTACAAGGAGGCATTAAATATATGTGCGCCACACTTCGTCATTCAGTTTGTGTGAGGACTGAAATATTACTCGGGCGCCCAAACTGAAACAGGTGGTTTTCTTTGGAGGCCGTTCCCTGAGCCTTTGATCTCAAGGTCTAATCCAGAAAGCAGTGGAGCAACGTTAGGAGATGCGGTCCTGTGGTAGCCAGTGACCAACAATAGGTTTATTCGCCATTTGTTTCTTTAGGATCCTGGATTATTTATTTATTTACTTATTTGAACACATAAATATTGGTACAACGGGGCACCAGATATTTATATGCCACACAAAACAATGAGAATGAAGAGAAAAAAGGTGGGGAGCGTAAAAGAAAAAAGAAGAGGAACAATAACGGCCAGATTAGTGCAAGGAAGTGCAGTAATAATAATAATGGGGGAAACGGAAAGGTACAACCAGAAGAAATCTTTCAATTAAGTAATATACAACCACTTTTTCTGAAGAAAGTAAAAAAAGGTTACAGCAGGATCGCCACTGGCTTTTATTCTGAGCCATATCTGATAACGTCTCTAGCTACTGTGTTGCACCATTTCTCGGACCCTAGCCAGGGAGTCGTGAAGGACCAACAGAAGCCAGCCCTTTGCAGCTTTCTTTCATACTACGACACCATGTCATACACTGACCACCTCTCCGCTTTTTCCAACCAGTCCCAGAGTCGGCAAATAATGCACGCCGTGGAATCCTCTGGGACGACATTCGGAGAACATGTCCAAGCCACCGAAGTCGGTGTTTCAAGATGGTGACACCAACTGGATTATCTTCTCTGTACCCGAACAAACGATGCCGAACCTCTGCATTACTAACATGGTGTTGCCACTGGATGTCAACAATCCTTCGGAGACAGCGATGATCGAACACAGAGAGTCGTCTAACATCCTCAACTCGGAGAGGCCAGGTTTCCCAAGCATAGAGCAGAACTGCTCTCATCGACGCTTTGTAGATCCTACCTTTTACGGCCAGACTGACATCACGAAGGCGCCAAAGATGGTTCAGATTGTCACGCTCTGGCTTTCACTATACGTGCATTGATCTCATCACTCCCACTCCCACCAGTACTTATGCAGCTACCCAGATACACAAACATCTCGACTACTTCTGTCTGCTCACCATGCAGAGTGAGTACAGGATTAGAATCCTGCCAGTCTTGTAGAAGTACTTTGCACTTCGAAGGTGCAAAGCACATACCATACCTACGGACATTGATTGCCAACTGATTAAGTGCGGATTGCATGCCTTGGGCATTATCGCACAGTAAGACAATATCGTCCGCATACTCAAGGTCGATAAGTCTTTCTCCAGGCAACAGATCCACACCACCATTACTTACATCCATCAGCGCTGTTTCCAGAATGTCATCGATGGCAACGTTGAAGAGGAATGGTGACATTGGGCAACCCTGCCTAACCCCACTGCTCGAATGGAACAATGGAGAGAGGTGGTTTTATGCCCTCACTCTGCCCATCGTCCAAGACGTAGATGGATGTTAATGGTTGGCATCCCATCATCCTCGTAGATTGTTCCGCTCACACCAGACTTCTTGCTGCCAGTGGCTTGGATGAGTTGGAAGAGCTTCCGGTAGTCACCAGATGCAGCTGCTGCTTCCAGCTCATTATCACGCTCCGACCACCAGGTTTCTCGGTTCTTACGCAAGCTTTGTTCAATTTCATTACATAAAAACCTTCGTTTGTGGTCCTGTTTGGTGAAGACGCTGACAAAATGCAGAGTCTTCTGGTAGCACTAAGCACCAATGCCAGAATGTTTGGGATGCGCTTCTCTCCCTCTAAATGCAAGTTGTTGCTTCAGGACTGGTCTGCGTCAACACCTGAACTAAGGATAGGGAGTGAAGTAGTTGAACGCGTTGACAACTTCACTTATCTTGGAAGTCTGATCAGCCCTAATGGGTTGGTGTCTGACGAAATCTCAGCACGGATTCGAAAAGCTCGTTTGGCTTTTGCCAACTTACGTCACCTGTGGCGAAGGCGAGATATCCGTCTATCAATAAAAGGACGAGTATACTGCGCGGCAGTTCGTTCTGTTTTAATTTACGGCAGCGAAACATGGCCCTTAAGAGTAGAAGACACCCGTAAGCTACTAGTATTTGACCACAGATGCCTTAGAAATATTGCTGGCATCTGCTGGGATCACCGGGTAAGTAATAGTGAGGTTAGACGCAGGGTATTAGGGAATGATGGTGAATCAGTTGATGAGGTTGTGAATCTTCATCGACTGAGATGGTTGGGTCACGTGTTGCGTATGTCTGAACACCGATTACCATGACGTGCAATGCTAACCGGTGTTGGGGATGGTTGGAAGAAAGTTAGGGGCGTCCAAACCAAAACGTGGCATCAGTTCTTGAAGTCACTAACTTCTAGTCTGAGCCATGTTGGTAGATGCAGACTACTTGGTTGGGGTCCGCGTGACTTTCGTAACCAATGGTTGGAGACTCTTGGTGACATGGCTCAGAATCGATCACAATGGCGTCGGTGTATACACTCCCTGTCTTCCCTTAAACTAAGAGATTAAAATCACTTCATTCTTTCTGTCTACGAACTAATTCTTTCTTCCTATACTATATCCTTATTGCAACCTTTGACCTAACCACTCCTATGAATCCGCTGTTCATCTTGCTGTGCTAATGAGGTATGGCAACCTGGACCGATGCACATATGTGCCTGGTCCTACGTTGTAGCTGACTGACTGACTGTTTGTGGTCAAACTCACGGTCACCCGGAGTAGACTGACAGGCTCCAATAAGTTGTAAGGAACCTGAAGAAACCCAGTGCTCATAAGCGGGACGTTTCGCGAAACCGCAAGCGACTTTACTCGCCATTTTGATGGCGTCATGAAGCTGCAACCAATGCTCATCTATACTTTTCGGTGGATTGGTAGCTAGCCTAGAAGCTACCTCGGTCCGATACTTACTGGTAACTGAAGTTGCAACCAACATACTGACATCAATCCTTTGGTAGTGGTCACTTCGTTGGCCACTGAAAAGTAAGGTAAGATTGGCGCAGACCATGGCATGATCAGAGTCCAGATAGGTACTCCAAAAGAAGTAACAGTCTTGTACACAACCACGGCGCTTTAACGGGATCCCAAACCAATGGTGTACTTGGGCTCCAGTATCCTGAGGGAACAAATGGCGTATAAACCAATCGTTGGTTACCGGCTAACATGGGAATGCATCTCTTCACGATGCTCCACTGCCTTGTGGATCAGACCTTTAGATCAAAGGCTCGGGGTGTGGCCCCCTAAGAAAACCACGTGCTTCGGTCTGGGCACCTGGGCAGTATCACAGCCCACACACAAATATAATGAAAATGATGGTATTTACTGAAAACTTCGATTTACAGTCAAACAATTCACATTATTATTATTATTGTTATTATTATTATTATTATTATTATTATTATTATTATTATTATTATTATTATTACTATTATTATTATTATTATTATTACTTACTTACTTACTTACTTACTTACTTACTTACTTACTTACTTACTTACTACGTCATTTATTCACTCGTTTATTCCCACTTTGTGTATCCTTATTTTTCGACTTATACAGCAGCTCGCCTATGGTGGGAACTCGGTTCTATCTAAACGTTCTCGAGTCACTGCTTGGTTGAAAATTGTATGCTACCACCAAAGACGAATACTGAAGCAGTTTTTCTGAAACCACGTGCACCATTCAAACTGGCTGCCTTCAACGTTCGCACACTTATGCAGGTCGGACAACAGATAGGGCTGGCTATGTCTTTGGAAAGTTTTAATATCGACGTTTGTTGTCTATCCGAGACCCGTATTCAAGATTGGTGAAGTACTAAAAATTCGCTCTCCATCTGTCACTTCAAAAAGCTTGTTTTACGTGCGTTTATCCGGGGACCCTGTGGCATCTTCGGCTGGTCTTGCTGGGGTCGGTGTCGCACTAAACGCTAGAGCCGAGGCAGCACTTATCGATTGGATGCCCATTAACAGTCGGCTTTGTGCTGTTAGATTGAAAAGTTTCATCAAATTGAGAAGAAATCGGCGTGAGAAACGATGTCTTTTCGTCATCTCCGCCTATGCCCCGACAGATTGCAGCCCGGATGCAATCAAGGATGAATTCTACCACCAGTTATCTGTTCTTCTCCAGAAAGTGCGTTCGACAGATATTGTAGTACTAGCCGGAAACTTGAATGCTCAGGTCGGGCGTCTAGGCACGGAAGAGAATTGTTTAAGTGGCCGATGGGGACTTGCTGGTCGCAGGACAGATAACTGGGACCGTCTACTGCAACTGTGCACAGACCACAACCTGTTTCTGGTCAACATTAACTTTCAGCACAGTCATCGCCGATGTGTCGCCTGGCGTCCTCCCTCTGCATCTCAAGCCTGGACTCAGATTGATCACATCGCGATCAGGATCCTGGAGCCTGTATGCAGCTCTGGTTTAGAATCAGGGTTTTCCAACTCCCCTAGGTAAACTCTCCGTGTCCACCAACCCGGTTAAAGCAAGTGCCAGACATTCGCTTTTCGTCCTCTCAGTTTCGTAAACAACACCCGTGGTGCGAGGAGTCTGTGATTAGGACTTCCCTGACAGCGGTTGCGTCCATGTGAGAGCATTTCGAGAGGGAGAGCTGACTGTCTCCATCCTCGATCATACCAGGAGCATAGGATGTGTTAAGGAGAGGTCTTTGGTCTTGATAATTTAGCGACATAAGTTATAGTTTAAGACAATTTAATTAATTGACTGTTTAACATTTTCTTTTAGGAGTTATAATAACCAATTTCATGTTATTAATTTCGGATATTCATTCAATGGTCTAATTGTAAATTGAAAATGGATCCGCAAGAACAAAACCCAGAAGTTAGTTTGTCCTGGGAAATCCTTGAGAATTTGATGTCACGACAACATGCTCAAGTAAACTATCTGTTTATGGACGATCCTGAACCGGTAAAAGGGAACAATGACAACAAAAATTTACCAACAGTCTCTATTAGTCTCAATAGAAGTAAGTTATTGGACTAGACGTTTTTGGTTTGCATCCATTGTCAGGGCTTTTTCAGTCAGCTTAGGACCAAAGCACGATGGCAGTTGCTGTAGTGCTACTGGTTATTCTGTTCCCGTCCAACGCGTAGTTTATCAGTAACATTTCTAGCATGTATATTGAGGAGTGATTTTTATTTACTAAGAACGATGCCTCACGATTTTGACCTTGGAACGTCTCAAATATGAGTACTAGATGGTATAAAATCCATATATGAAGCCTACAACTAATTAATAGATATCATATAAGGACCTGAAGTTTATTTATTTAAACTTAAATATTGGTACAAGGAGGCACCGAATACAAATACACCACGCTTCATCCGATTTGTGTGAGCGTTTGTATACTGCACGTGCTCCCAAACTGAAGCAGGGCCTGAAATAAATACTATTAGTCGATACGTATCACTGGACTTTAGCATTAGTCTTATTCCCGATGAGAAAATTTAGTCTTGTAAAGATTTGTAAAATGATACCCGCCTCTAAGGTCGTTTAGTGCTTACTATGTTCTAGCTGTTAAATTCTATAATACTAAGCCCACATGCACTTGGACACCTAAACCCTTGTTAACAAGTCATTTGTCGGATTACGTAGGTCATAACAGTAAAGCTTCATCCTAGAGTGCTGTCTATAATGATGTCTGAATAATTATCAACATTTCGCTTGCACTTATTAGTTGTCTATTTCTTAGTGAAGGTTTTCTAGTATCAGTTTCTTTTAGAGGATTGTCTTATATTTTTTAAACGATGAAACTCGGTATAAATGGAGCAGTATGAAAAACAAGCAGATGATAGTGCTATAAAGGAGCAATCAAATGAAGATTTAAGTGTTCAGTTCGCATAAAAGCGAAAAGAGAGTTTCTTATCAAAGCTAATGCTCACTGTTTGTCCGGAAATAAAAAGAAAACATTAGAATTCATACCAATTTCGGACAACGTTCCATGATTTTTCTGATCATTAGGTTGGATGATCGCCGTATCATACAGAATAGGTTGCTGGTATCTTTATTGGTTAAATCAAACTATGTAATATTTAATAATGTCTACCAATGGTCATATCACCAATGTAATCGATATAGTTCCATTAATACTTTAAACTAGACGAAATAGTACTTCTGTACTACTTGAAGATCAATTCGTGAGGTTAGACGCAGGGTATTAGGGAATGATGGTAAATCAGTTGATGAGGTTGTGAATCTTCATCGACTAAGATGGTTGGGCCGTGTTACGTATGCCTGAACACCGATTACCACGACGCGCAATGCTGACTAGTGTTGGGGATGGTCGGAAGAAAGTTGGGGGTGTCCAAACCAAAACGTGGCATCAGTTCTTGAAGTCGCTAACTTCTAGTCTTAGCAATGTTGGTAGATACAGACTACGTGGTTGGCATCCGCGCGACTATCGTAATCAATGGTTGGAGACTCTTGTTGACATAGCTCGGAATCGAGCCCCTAAACTATGAGACCAAAATTACTTCATATCTTTCTTTCTACGAACTAATTCTTTCTTCCTGTACTATATCCTTATTACAATCTTTCTTTTATATAGTACACCATTGAGTTAACTGCTTCTATGAATCCGGTGTTTGTCTTGCTGTGCTAATGAGGTGTGGCAACTTGGACCGATCCATATATGTGCCTGGTCTTACGTTGTAACTGACTAACTGGCTGACGAATTCGTGTAGTTATGATATTTATCATCGTTCTGTTTATTTAATTTTTATTTATTTATTTGTAGTGAATGAGAAATTTTTAAATGGTACTTATCGTGGTATACGTGAATTTGTTTGTGATTTCCGTTTGATGTTATTAAATTGTTATCGTCACAATGGAATCTCTTCACGTATTGGACGTTGTGCTGAGAAATTAGAATTGTTGTTGGAACAAAAACTTCAACTTTTATCTCCGTAATTATAATTATAGTGTAGCGTTTATTATTTTATTGTTTTTAATGAATTTAAGCCTTTACTAATTTAATTTAGATATGTCTACTTAAAAAAAGTTGATAGAACAATGAAGGATCTTCGCTTAATACTGTTGTTTATAATGGACATTTCTACGTTTATTGTATAGTGGTTAAGCGCTCTTGTGCAAGACTGATAGGTTCTGGGTTCGAATCTCACGAGGTGGGATTGTGAATGCGCACTGCTGAGGAGTTCCGAAATAGGACTAAACGGCCGTCCAGTGCTTCAAAGTTTTTCATGGTGGTCTAGCTTCAATTGATTCATGATCCCAACTATTGAAATTTATTGTAAACGCTTAATTTGTATTACTGGAGATTTTAATAGAACTATGATTGACTAATTTCATTCGGTTAAGCGATTTAAACATAGATACTGTGGATTTGATTGGTTAGGCTTCATTTCAATACATAAGTTGATTGTTTCATGCTCAAATAAATGAAGTATTGACTTAATGATTAAAGCATTCAACTTCATGTGATTAAGTTACGAGTTTGAATATTACCTTTATTTACGTAGCCCATCAATCACATAAAACTATGTAACTCATTTGGTTACTGAGTTTATTTATCTCAACTGAATGTTGTTCAGTGTAGAGTGATTAAACCTTTTTATTTGATTGATGATGATAGAATTAGTTGAGACTGATCTATTTTAGTTTCATTGTGTTGCATAAAAGATCTAGTTATGAATGTGATTGCATCAACTGTAAAAAGATTGATATATTTCTCAGAACATGATGGTTAGATGTAATATATGAATACAGTGATCTTTAGTGCTGTTAGAGGTATGAAGGCGGTTATCACTGCCCGGTTGTCCACACCGTGGAAGGGTTCTTCTGGAGGTACCTGAAAAGGAAATTGGGTTAGAGGTGGTCTTACTGACCTGAGAGCATGACTGCAGTGCCAAAGGGACAACTGCTTGAGACCAGCCACATACAACCTTTTTGTGAGCAGTTTTCGTGTTAGCTCCGTACTTGTTGAAACCTTACCACCAGAGACGTATATCCGTGCGATAAGGCGATGTGTGCATTTTTAGAGTCAACCTTTTCTGTCCCCATTCCTCCTTGTGGGAAGGCAGCTGCTTTTAGTCTTACCGCTCTTCAACCGACCTGTCTGGCATGGTAAGGCCTTGAGGAACGATCGTTCCATCCAGTATAGCTCGGTTGCTTCATCACGATAGTGAAGGCCGACCACCACGTCAAGGTAACAGCAACGGTCAGGAGATGTAATATATATATACTAAGTGAAATAAATGTAATATTTTACTGAGAGTTTAATGTTTCATCTTAATTAATTTTAAGTAGTTAGACCGATAATTCTGTAACTGATAGTTTAAATCTGGTTCACGTTCTATTATGTGAACCTGTGGTCAACATTCCGTAAAGGTGAAACTATCACTTGTCAAAACATACTTTTGTATTACAAGTTGTCAATGACAATATATGTCTGTTTATGCAACTTCGTCAACTGTACTTAATATTATATCATTTTTGAATTTCGTTGAATTTTTCTTCATTTATAACGTTTTAGTGAAATTAGAGCTAAAGCATCGATACAATCAACGCTTGGATTTGGTACAGCTGAAGATGAATTACTGGATTGCGGTAAGTGCATTCACTTGATGAATCTGTGTATTATTTATTTGTATTTTTATATGGTCGAAAATTCTTCACTGGGATTAGTTACTTCCCAGCTAATTTTTACAAGTTGAATGAAATGAGTTGAACAACTGTCATTACGTAAAGGCACTGACTTCCGGTTGGATTTCCAAAGAAATCTAGACTATCTTATTGGTGGTTGTGCTATAGTTTTAATCACTGACTTGAGAAGTTAATTAATATGGTTTAAAATCAGTCTCACTAGGGCAGTTGGTTTAATTATTTCGTCTCTGTCTCATGAATAATATGATCTTGCATTTCGAATTCTTCAATTTTATTTGTTTCTTTCGTACTGTATCTCTTGTGTTGAACTTTTCGATTTTTGCTTACCGATATCCAACCGGCTAGCCTAGTATATTAAAAACTCAAGGGACAAGTATTTCAACCGATGAAGTTCGATTGGGTCATCATGATAGAGAAGCTCAACCATCACGTCAAAACAGCTACTATAGTTTTCTTTTCAACGAAATCATTTACTTAAGCTGTACATTCGTATATATAGTTATATGGAAAATGTATGTCTATAGGAGGATAGAATGGATTGTATCACAAAAATGGATTCGACAATAAATAACAAATGAGGTTAACGTAATAATCAAGGGGTAAAGAAGAACAAAATTTAAGGGTCAGATAATAGTCCAATGGACAGATATGAAGGAAAAACGACAAAACAACAAAGGTCATAATAATAGACTGAATAATAATTAAGAAAACTTGTAAAAGGTAATAATAAATGATTAGAGTTTAAAGTGCAAAATAGTAATAATAAAAGTGCATTGAAAAAAAACACACCTAGAAACATACCCATTAAGGGAATTAGGGCCAGGGAAGGATGAGAGGTTGGACAAATCGTTTCTGCACGCAAAGTTCAGGCTTTAGTTTGTGGATTGCCAATGCCTCTGCGGTGCATAAAATATTGATTCGAACCCCTTTCGATCCAGTTCCTTTGACTCTGTAAACTATTTTAAACGAAGAGTCTTTTGGAGCGATATGCCCACAGTTGATTAAGTGCTCCTGTATAGAACTCGTGATTGTTTTTCGCTCCCCTTTCAAGAGCCAAGCCGGATAATGTTCCGAGATGCGTTTGGATAATGATCGCTTTGTGCGGCCTATGTAACATGCCCCACATGAGCAAGTAAACTTATAGATACACATTGAAGTGGCCCAAAGCGAAAGTTTGTCCTTAACACACCCCAGAATTGTAGGTCGGCTAGAGAAGATGATTCGAAGCTTAGCTGCGTGGAATGTTTTATTCAATGATTTCGAAATCCGTTTATTTAGGATTTCAGCAGCCGTATCTCCCTTAAATTCCATATTCACAAATAGAGTTTTTTCTCTACTGTCAATGCTTTGTCATGAGGTCTAGGTACCAAGTTTCTATCGATGAATCTCGGTGGATAACCATTTTTAATGAGGGTCTGTCGAAGATAAAATAGTTCCCCATCTATTGTGTCATTGGAACAAATTCGCCTGATCCTTGAGGATAAAGAATTTATTAAGTTCCTTTTTCTAATTAATGGAACCCAACTGTGGAAGTTCGTGTATTGTCCATTCCAAGTGGGTTTTCTGTGTATCGATCTCTGTAATAAACCGTCAGGCATTCTTTTTAAATGGATATCAAGAAAATGAAATTCGTGGTTTGTCTCTGCTTCTAAGGTGAATTGGATTGATGGGTGGCAGTTATTGAAAATATTCAAAATATCATTGAGGTCACTATCTTCTTCGCAAATAATGGAAGTGTCATCCATATATCTTTTATATAAATGAAATCTTTCAATTATTGGTCGAAGTACCGAATTTTCTAGGTTCGCCATAAAACAATCAGCCAGGAGAGGACCCAATGGAGAGCCCATTGCAACTCCATCTATTTGTTTATAGAAAACATCATTAAGTAAATGATTTCGTCGCAAAGAAAATTTTCTTCGCTGAATTCTCTTTTTCTTATTCAATGACACCATGGGTTATTTTAATTAGCTACTATAGTGTGAACTGGAGACTATTCCCAAGCTGTTCCATTCTGATTTATGTATAATTTTATTTCTTTTTTTATTTAGTCGCATGAACATTGGTGCGAAGGGGTAAAAAAATATATGTACCACACAAATAAGTTATTCAATTTGTATGTAGGCTTGGATGCTGTCCAAGTTCTCGAACCGAAACAAGTGGTCTTCTTAGGGGGCCCACTCCCTGAGCCTTTGACCTAGTAATCTAATCCATATGGTAGTGAAGCGATATTAAGAGATGCAATCCCATGGTAGCTGGTGACCAAGAATATATTCATGCGCCATCTTTTCCATCAGGATCATGAAGCCCATATACATTATTGGTTCGGAGTCAGAGTTTTCCAACTCCCCTAGGTGGGTCCCTCGTACCTAACAGCCTGGTTGATGCGCCTAACATTCGCTTTTAGTCTCGTCAATTTCGTAATCAAAAGTTAAAACGCTTCTTATGTATGTTAAATAAACAGTGAAGTGATTTCCTATTTGCTATTACTCACTAATGTTGATTCATGACAGAAATCATTCTTTATATAGTTGTGCTTATTTTTGATTTTTATTAATCGCATATAATTTTTTTCTCAAAACTGTAGGTGTAACTCGCCGTCGAAGTTCTGGACGTTTATTCCTTTCTGGTGATACACGTCAGTTAACACCAATGCGCGCTATCATTGAAGAGTTGGAACATGTTACACATCCTGGTTCTGGTGGGGGTATCGCAGCATCATTAATTTCAAGTAGTATAGATTCAAATAATCCTATACCATCCAACCAACAACAATCAGCTACTACTACTAATATTACTAATAATTTAAGTATAGATGAAAATGTTGGTTTAATTATAGCTAGATTAAGTTTGTGGGAGCGTAGACGACATGAAGAAGAATTGTTAGATTCATGGAATGAATGGTGGATTCAGAAAAATGGACCTAAATTGCAAGAAATTATATACAATGTACCAGAAGTTAGTCAAGTTTATTGTTTTGCTCTAGTATTAAGATATCTTGATAGGGATTTAGTTTGTTGTTTGTCAATGTCATTCACTATTGAACTTTAGTTATTTCATTGTTCAAAGTAACATGGAGTAAATTGATACAAATTGATGACGGACTCAGTAAATTGAGTAAGAACTTCATTTATATATCATCTAATGCAATTGGTGGGTGACAGCTTCATTCTAAATGTGGTTGAACTCCACTGGTCACGGCTTCTCACTAGTACTGTGGGAATTGAATGGGTTTGGAAATGTAGAATATTAAATCGCTATTCATTAGTTTGTAGGTATTTTGCTGACGCCGAAAGGCTTGAAAGTTCTGTGAGATTCAGTGAGCATACACTATTAAACAGTTCATTCTTAAATTCAAGTAGTGTCCATAATTTAACCATGTAAACAGTTATTTATGAGGAAATGGAAAGCATTTTAATTCTTTTAACCGATAGTAAAACAATGTGAAGTTTTCCGTTGTCATCTTGAAGAGAGCAAGAACAAAGATTTGAGTGGAATAACAATCATTCATTTTAGTTTACGGATCATAGTTGACTCGATCTTCTAATTGTTTCTATATTCATCTATTCACTTGTATCTGTGTTTTCTCATCAGACTGGTTATGTTGATCGGTTATATAACTATTTCAGTGTAAATACAACTAGTTTAACAATAAAGTAATACCGTCTGATAATCTTTTCTTTATTCCATTCTTTTTTCTGCTGTAAATAATAAACGGATTAGTTGATAATATGTGTTCATTGTTGGAATATGTGCCGCAAGGGGATACCATTGTTTGTCTTTAGTATTGTTATGCTGCCATTGAAACTTCTGTAACATCATTGTGACGTTAAATATCCAAAGGATACAGGGGATGATTTTATATACATACGTTGTGCATTTATAGACTGAATAAAATTGGTATGAAAATGTAATGTTTATTATACACGATAAACTTCAGTAAAAGCTGTACATTATGATGTTAACGACTTTTATGAGCACACTGGATTCTTCTTAGTGGAATTTTTACGGAAGAAAGATAATCAGATTAAATAATAGATGGAGGAGACCGAGTAAGAAATAACGATTTATATGGTTACACATTTTTAAAAGTTAACTTTAATGCTTAATTTCTTTACTTATATGAACTGAAGTAATACAACATACCTTATTGTATATATGTATATATATTTTTAGTTATTAGAAGCATATCAATTCTTGTGGCTAGCTGATCCTTTTTTGGGTATTAGTGATTGTTTGACAATTTATAATAATAATAACAATCATAATCTCATTGCCAATTCATTGAACAGTACAAATCATTCACGTAATTTATCATTATTCGACTTAGAAATTGGACTATGTTCAGTTCCACAAGCTAGTCTAGTTTTAAATGTTTGTATGTCTAATCTATTAGCTACGCCAAAAGAAAGAAATCAAATTGTCGCTGTATTAAATAATAATAATAATAATAATAATAATGGTAACAATGTTAATTGTAATCTTAATGTTGGAGCAGATTCTAGCACAGATTGTATTTCTTCTTCAACAAGACGATCTCGTAATCTTCTATCAAATATATCTACATTACCTGTAATTGATTATGATGTATGGGAACGTCGATTATCTAGTCGTGTTGATTCATGGTATCGTTCATTTTGGGAAAAAGGCAAAGGTGTTATTGAATGGGTAGGTTGTATGAACTTTCTTCTACATACAATATTCATTTAATGTTTTCCTTTTGTTTTATCTTTGAAAAAAGAAGTTGATTTGATGTAGAACTCACGAAAGGAGCAACTGTTTGTACATTTAATTTCCAGATATAATTTTTTTGTGGAGAGCTATTGCCGCTGTAGTTAGAAAGCACTGGTTCTCACCTGCTATCCAGTGTTCTAACCACTAACCGATAGAACTACTTATAACTTAATGTACGATTTTTAAAATTATTCTTCTCAGTGATTTGAAAGAAATGTACTGAACAGTACATGTTTTTTGGGAGTTCGGAAAATTACTATGTAAAGGAGTTCTGTATTAAGGGAAAACAGTTATCTTTTCCTCAATTTCCATTGTTATTCAGATTTCGGTCGATTAATTCAATGCCAAAATAACTTCATGTGCTGAGTAGTTGAAAAGGACCGCTGAAACTTTCTTAACGTATACTTTTTTGCTTTTTGCTGTCTGTTAATCAAAACATACTCAGCCTTTAGGAAAGTTTTACTCTTATACAAACTGAAATACCCTTCGCTTGTTCGAATTATTTTTTTGAGCCTAACCACCTATCGTGATTGCTAGATTAAATTTCTACTTTAGCCACTATCTTAACATGTTTATAATACTCATTATTTGAACACATAAACATTGGTACAAGGGGCCGCCAAATACATAATTGCCACACAATAACAATGAGGTTGTGAAGAGATAGAGAAAGAAAGGTGAGTGTAATAAAAAAGAGCAACAGTGAACATAAGTTAGTGTATGAAAGTGAAATAATAATAATAATAATCGGACAAACAGTTCAATTAAGATAAGTACAATGAGAAAGAATTCTTCCTGTTACAGACTTTGTGGTGTGAGCTACTTATATCCACGTAAGTAGTATATAACCATAGTCAAGAATAAAATATATTTCAGTAGAAGATCGAGAAGGAAAGAACGGTAACGGAAAGCAATGGGTATGAAAATGCAGGAACAATGCAATCTGAGATGATGAACTGATATTTGCAAAAGAAACAGTATCTACTGCATTGTTCTCATATTTTAGTGAAATGTTTTGTAATTGCGTGTTCAAATACATCCGATTGTCCCCACTCGTGTTCTCGTTCACTATAATGTTAATTTCGCTTTCGTGAATATAGTAAAAGAAGGTTGCAGCACGATTGCCACTGACTTCTATTCTGAGCTATATCTGATAACGTCTGAAGCCACTGTATTGTACCATCTCTAGAACCCCATTCAGAGAGTCGTGAAGGACCGACAAAAGCCATTCATTTACAGCTTTCTTTCATAACACGACACATGCCATAAACTAACCAACTCTCTACTTTTTCAAACCCGTCCCAGATTTAACAAATAATATACGATGTGGAATTCGCTGTGACGACATTCTTAGTACATATCTTGGCCACCGAAGTGAATGTTTGAGTATGGTGACACTAAATGAATTACCATTTCTGCTTCCGAACATACGTTGCCAAATGTCTTCATTACTGATATGATGTTGACAATGATCAAACAGAGATTCACTTAACATCCTCAACTCAGAGAGGTCACGTTCAAAAGCATATAGCAAAACTGCTCTCACCGACGCGTAGTAGACCCGACATTTTACATCACGAAGAAGCCAAAGGTGGTCCAGATTGGCATAAGCCGTCCTGGGTTTCGCTATACGTCAGTTGACTTCATCTCTCACGCAACCACCAGCATTTATTCAGCTACCTAGTTACACTAACTTCTCTACTTCTCCTGTTTGCTCACTATCACGAGTGAGTGCAGGTAAAGGGTCCCGCCGATTTCGTAGAAGTAGTTTGCACTCTTACAGTGCAAAGAATATGCTATACGTACGGACACTGATTGACAACTGATTAAGTGTGGATTGCATGGCTTATATATCAGTGCACAGTAAGACAATATTCTCCTCCTACTCAAGGTCAGAAAGTCTTTCTCCAGACAACAGATCCACACCACCATTACCTACATCTATCAGAGCTGTTTCCAGAACGTCATCGATGGCAATGCTGAGGAGTAATGATGAATTTGGGCGAAACTGCCTAACCCTTGGGTTGAATAAAATAAGGGAGGGGTGGTTGTATGCTCTCACCTTGCATGAGGTATTTGTATATGTGACCTTCACAATATTAATACACTTCTCAGACTTACTTACTTACGCCTGTTACTCCTCGTGAAGGAGCATAGGCCGCTCACCAGCATTCTCCATCCAACCCTGTCCTGGGCAATCCTTTCCGGCTCCTTCCAGTTGTAATTCATCCGACGCAATGTGTTCTTTGGCCTTCCTCTTTTTCTTGATTGTGGTTGTTGTAGTTCTCCAAGTTTCAGCTCCATACAGTAGAACTGCCTTGACGTTCGTATTGAAGATTCTCACTTTGATATTGGTTGAAAGTTGTTTTGAGTTCAATGGACAATCCCAGAGAATAGTACTGTCCAACGAATCAAAGGCGGCTCTAATGTTAAGAAATATTACAATTGTTGGTCTGTCGTAAGTATGACGGTGTTCTAACGTTTGGTGGAGAGTGAGGATATGATAAATACATCCTCGACCAGAACGAAAACCAGCTTGCATCTTGCGAACCAATTTTTCTCGGGTTTCGAACAATCTACAAAGTGTGATTGTGGCCAATAGTTTAGATGTGATCGGAGAAAGACTTATTCACCTATAGTTGTTGCGAGAATAGCATGAACTCTTTTTGAAGATAAGAACATTTATTGATTCGTTCTACGATATTGGAACACTAATGCCAGACCTTTATTTACAGCTACTTTGAGTGCTGGATTTATTTTCTACTTTAGCTGTTATCTTAACATGATTATCGACCTTATCTTGACAACAATGTGTGTTTCAATTATATTAGCTGAGACATATCTACGAGGTCATATAATGCCAGGAAAGTTCATTAGAGTGTAGTACAGTCGGAACTATACTTCTTTCTCACAAAAGAACTGTGAGAAAGGGTCAGGCCTTATAGTCGTACACCATCTGTCAATCCACAGGTTTTCACTTTGGGTGGTGAGGTTTTAAAAATTCTTTGTGATTTCAGTCTGTAATTAATGAATCCGTCTTTTATGCTTGAAGAGATTACGAGTTTACCTGAATTTGCGAACGGATCGAACACTCAGCGACACCATGACCTAATAAGCTAACTATTCTGATGCGTCTCAGCTAACTAGAGAGAGAAGTCCAGGTTCAGAAGAGGGAAAATGTATTCCACTAGCAGACAGAAGCACGAACAACAACAAGCACAGCTCCAGCGTATATATACATCATAAAAATGTCCTTGGGAAACGTTACAAAATAATATATTAAAAGAGACGACGAACCGGTGACATTTAAGATCCTCCCAAATGGGAAATATGATATGAAGGTGAAAATGGGCGCTTTTAGTGCGAAGAGAAGAAATTCAAATTTCCAAAACAAAATTGCAAAAATAAGACATCAAGTGAGTTCTGGGGATCTAGCATCCCCAACACCTCTCCTTTTATTAGCGTACGTTCTTGGAGTCCACTTGCATCCTGACAATTTGTCGCCGTTGTCGGAGTGACCACCTGTAATGTAAATCGATTTGTTGTTATACTTCCTAAGTAGGGGCTACGGGTAGATTAGAAGTATCCAGCAGAATGTCTAGCGGAAGATTCCCTTCAGTCACTGGGTGAACTAAGGCTAACCACTTATGTAGTTGGTTTCAGTGTTGAGTCCACTTGTCTCTTCCCACCACTACTTCGTACATGACTTGACCTAACTTTCCGACCACCCGTGCTTCGGTTCAGAGACCATGATTTGGTCTGTAGTCCCTAGCGAACACCGGACATCCAACGTTGTACGTTGTCAGCTTTTTGGATTTCGTCTGATGGTAGTGGTGTGGTTCTCTGGAGCATCAGATTGTGGATCATCCTCAATTTTCTTCCCATGAGGATCTCTGCCGGGGACGTCTGCTCTGGTAGCGTATCATTAGGTGTCGCTCGACAAACGAATAAGAAGTTCTACAGTGTTTCAACTGGCGTCCCCTCCCTTTTCGACTTGATTAAAACCCTCTGGAACGTATCCACAAATCTTTCTGCTTGGTCGTTTGACTGTGGGTGGTAAATTGGAGAGCGGGAGTGCTTTATGGATAGCCGTTGGCAGAAATCTTGGAACTGAGTGGAAGTGAACTGCGAACCCTTGTCTGGTGCGATTACATTCGGTAATCCGTTGCGGACGAAAATCCCTGACCAAAATGTTGGGTGCGCGCATACTGAATGTCAAAGTCATAACACAAAGGTATCAAGGCTCATCGCTGGAGATGATTTGCAGAGTGTGCTGGAACACCAGACTTTGAACCGAAGATTGTGAGAAGGGGCTTGTGGTTTTTTAGACGAGTAAATCTTCAACCGTACAGGAACTTGTAGAAGTAGCGCATTGCAAAGATAAAGGCGAGAGCCTCTTTCTCCATCTGGCTGTACATTTCCGCCGGAGTTAACGTCAGGAATGCATGCATAATAGCTTCTTTTGTGGTGTCCGGGAACTGATGTGAGATGACGGCACCGATTTCAAAAGCGATGATTGGCATGGATGGGTCGTTGTGTGCTGATAGTAGTTCCGAGCTAATGATTGTCTTCAGTTTGCACAAAGCAGCTTCAAATTCCTTCGTCTAGTTCCAATTAGTATTCTTTTTCAGAAAACAATCCAGTGAGACGCGGATGTCATGTATTGACGGAACAAAAGCTAAGTAGTAGCTAACTAATCCCAGAAATGATCGTAGGGCAGAGACATTGGTGGGAGTGAGCCTAAATTTTATAGCTCGAATGTTTTCAGGATCTGATCTGCGACCTGGAGCATCCAAAAATGAAACCCAAATACTTGAAGAAAAGCTGGCATTTTTCTGAACGTAACCGAAACCCGTTATCACTGATGCGTTGTAGTACAGCTGTTGTGCGTTCTCGTAGCTGTTCAAAAGACGTGGCGACAATTAAGATGTCACTGAGATAAGTTGCAACCTCCGGGATACCCGATAGGATTGTAACAATTAGTTGCTGGAAAATAGATGGGGCGGTCTTAACTCCAAATGGTAGAAGATTATATTGAAACAAACTACGATAAGTACTAATGGTAAGTAGCTCTCTCGATTCTTCAGCCACTTCCACTTGTAGATAGGCATCAGCAAGGTCCAACTTTGCGAAGAACTTCCCACTATTTAGTAAAGTGAACAAATCTGTAGGGACTGGCAGCGGCTAATGATGGTGTTATAGAGCTGCGTTAAGACCTGTGGAGAAATCTGCGTACATTCGTGTTGTACCATTAGCTTTCTTGATAACCACAGTAGGTGTTACCCAAACAGAATAAGAAAAAAGCGTAATAACTCCTTGTAGTTGGAGGCGATTAAGTTCTTCATCAACTTTCGATAATGTTGCATACGGCACTAGTCTCTTCCAAAACAAAATTACAGAAATAAGACATTTACTCAGTGAGTTCTGGGGATCTAACATCACCACCATCGTCCATAATAAATTATTTTCTTGTACAGGCTACTGAGCAATGAAAATATTGTCTTAGACACACTCAGTGTTTTTCCTCCTGAATGCTGAATGTTATTTCACGACTGGCCAATGTTATTGTCTGGTTTGTCGATTAGTAATGGAATCGCTTATATGGTCGACGAAATCTTGTCATGGATACAATCCGTTTGTTTGATTTTTGTTGGTTTAAGCCATAGTTAGCGCAGACGTGTTGTTTATCTGTCTAACAGTGGTCGAGTATACTACTGAACAGTTCTCTGTGTATTACTTCACACCTGTAAGGAAATTATTTACGGTATTACATATCCCTGAGTAATAGTGGTTTGATTATAATTTTCTTACAAACATTCATTATACGTTTCAGAATAACCAGGCCAATAAGTTAACATGATTAAATTGTTTGATGTGCTTATTGTAATGTAGTGTTTATACAATTTCTATATTATTCTGTTTTGTTTTCTATTGACAGGCTACACGTCGTTTAGGTTTATCAAAAGGATTTTTTGATGCATGTGGCTATAAGTTGAATCCGTTAGCCAGTAAACGCTTTCATGAATTATCAATATATCAGCAAGTTGTAATAATCTGTGCACTGTGTGAATCGACAATGGTGAGTGTTATCATTAGTTTGCTTATTTTTGAATGCCGTGTTCACTGTGTCTATTGTTGCCCTGTTCCGGTTTAACTAAATACATTCTATTGAATATGGCCTCGCTCGTGTTGAAGTTTTCTGTCTGTATCATATGAGAGATCATTTAATTGATTTGTATACCACAGTAATTGTGAGGTTTTTAAAGAGTCTAAATAAGATTTATAACAATCCGCTGTTATTCAATCATGTGGATGGATTTTTTCATTGCTCAGCAGTGATTTTATAAATATCTACTGAACTGAAGTGTGTCATTACTGTCTTGAAATGCCAGTTGATTGTTCTTTTGAATAATTTTCGAGTTATACCACCATTGAAACTGATTTATTGTCTGTAGCAAGTTGTTTTATGTGTTTTTAGTTCTGAGTTTACTTCTTTTTCTTAACTGTTGAGGTTTGAGTTAGATAGTTACTTGGTAAAGGTAAGAACTTATGTTTTGAGTCTATCATGTTATTAGTTCAGAATTTTGAAGCGCGCAAAAGAAAATAATATGTAATAGTTCTGTAAACCTGCTTCGGTCTGGGCACCTGGGCAGTATCACAGCCCACACACCAATCAAGTGACCTTCGTGGCGCATATGTATTCGATGCCCCCTTTGTACCAATATATATGTGCTCAAACCAGTTAAAATACCCAAATGCCCCTGGTACGGTCGAGGGTAGGGAAAGTCATCTCTTCTTCTCCAAATGCTCTCACATGGCCACGCGTATACAGCCACTGCCAGGGAAGTCTTACTCACTGACTTCTCATGGTGGTGGTGTTTTTTACGAATTTGAGAGGACGAAGGCTGGATGTCCGGCAATTTACCTGGGTTGGTGGACTCGGAGAGTTCACCTAGGTTGGTTGGAAAACCCTCATTCCAAACCAATGATGCATATGGGCTCCAGTATCTTGAGGGAACAAATGGCGTATGGACCAATCGTTTCGTCCTATCGTGGGACTTTTCAGAAATGCGTATCCACGATCCTGCTCGTGAGATTCGAACCCAGGGCAATCAGTCTCGCACGCGAACGCTTAACCTCTAGACCGTTGATCCTCCCGGTATCCAACGGTTTTAATGTCTTACTTCAACTAATCCACGAAGTTCCGGCGGTCTAACGTCAATGAATTCATGATTTCACTCACAAACATAATAATCTCCACAACTCTGTGATTTTTAAATTTATCCAATTTAACTCACAGTTATATCATGAAAATAGGAATAAACTTTCAGTAGATATTTTCCTTTGTTGTATTATTATTATTCGACTTTTTCTTTTTTCCTTTTTCTCTTCAAAATATTCTTTCTTTTTTGTCTTCTTCTTCTAGCGAACATTTGAAAATCTTCGTTTATCTTTAGATAAATCAGCTGATTGGGAAGCATCAAATCCAGTTTATTTAGGTACTGATTTCTTTTCAAAATATACTTATATTCATTTACCTAATTCAATTGGAATTGATCCAGCCACTTCATTAAGAATCTATCGAATCTCTTATATAAAATATCAACCAGTTGAAATGAATTATGAAAAATCTTTCAAAATGACAATGAATCATAATCATCTTGATATGAATAATAAAACTGAAATATTAAATGATTTTCTAAAATTCCAAAATGATACCGACTTAAATCAATCGTCTAATTTGAAACGTCGTCGTAGTTGTACAAAATCTAAACAACAAATTCAATTTTATGATGAATTAAATAAACATAATAATTTTCTTCTAGATAATGGTTTATCAATTCCTGGTTCAGTTCAACGTTTACCTAATTGGATTCATCCATCATTAGCACGTGATGTATATCGTAGATGGTATCGTGTTACTGAACATGTTGATTCTATTCCTAATTCTTCTGCAATTGATTTAACTACTGATCAAGAGTCTGAAGAATATGGGAAAGCAAAAAAGAGGCGCTTATCAGAAAGAACTGTTAATAATACTAATACTAGTACTACTACTAATAATAATACTGTTGCAAATAAAGCAAACACACCAAATAATAGAAAACGTAAACCCCCTTCTTACAATGATAGTAATAATAATAATAATAATAATAATAATAATAATAATACTGTTAAAGAGAATGTACCATTTGGAGATTTTCAAGATATTGATAATCAAATTATTTCAGAGTTTATTAAAAATGATCATTGTTTAAATCCATCACCTTATGCATCATTTAATGGTCCAACACGTCAATTTTTATCTTTACAATTAAGTCGTACTGGTAAATCATTTTATATTTTACTTATAATAGTTGAAATTTTTCTTAATCATCTTTATAAGTACAATATTATTTTACGTATTTAAGCAAAGATGGATAGTGGCTAACAGTGGAATCCAGTTTGCTTCACGCGTTTCGTCCTATTTGGGACTCGTCAGCTGGACATACCTGCATCGTAGAGTTGATGTCCACTCCGACACTCGAACCCAGTACCATTCGTTTCAAACGCCATCGCCTTATCCACTTAGCTACTGAGCCTGCGACTTAAGGCCATATCGAGGCAATCCGCACAGGCTGCACATATGCCAACATGAGACTGATCAATTGCAGTCCTGAATAACAACACCAAGTGAATTTTACTTATTTGTTATAAATTATTTTATGGTTAGATTGATTAAATTACAAAGATTACCTGGTGATGGTAGTGGCTGTAGTGAACGAGAACACAAATGACGATAATCGAATTTATTTAAACGTAAAATTACAGAACACCTTAGTAAAATCTTAGAACCATATTGTAAATACTATATTTGCAAAATATCAATCAGTAGCCTCGAATTTCATTGTTCTTTTGTTTCTACACCAATTATTCTTTGTTCTAGTTCTCTTTCCTTCGATCTTCTTTACCCTCTGCTGCCAGGTATTTCACTTTTGATTGATGATACATACTACTTATATCTGTCGACATCAGTAGCACATACCACAGTGACTACTAATTGTGTTAGGATTGTTTTTAAAATATCAAAGTTGTGATTTTATGGTTATAGTACTCGAATTTTGACTAGTAAGTTTTAGATTTCAGTGATATTCCACTTTGTTTAAGTAGTAGATTAATACCATAAACTTGCATATTGAAATATATGTGATTTGAAATCAAATATCTGAATATGAAATCAGTTACCAAGTTGAGATTTCTATTAATTTTTTTTATGATAACGGAACTAACTACCAACTTAATTGCACAGTTAACTTACCAAAATAACTCTTAACTATGTAACATAAGTGGATTTATGTCTCCTTGGAATCGCTGGTTATTTATTGTGTAGTTCAGTAAAAGATTAAATCACTTGATGGTGAAGTGCAACTAGTTTTGTTATGTTTTTGATGGAGTTTTGTTCTCTGAGCTGGATGGTTTAGTCGTTCTTCTGAACGACATCATCGGTACAAACTTCAGATAGAAGTGAAGTGTTTGAATTTCTCCATATGCGTTTCACAGCTTGTTTTGTACACCTCGAGGTTGATTGGTTCTTATTGACCTTAAATTTGTCATTGTTTACTTCTTTGTTTTGTTTGTGTCTCCCATTGGTATGATTTTTGTTCCTATCTGGTTTTGTTATGTCTTAAGACGCTAATCGTTATCATATACTGAATTCGCCTATCAGAATTGCGATCATAATTTTTTGTAACACGTCTACTATTCCGTCTATAGCGTAGCATTCTGTAATTGAACAGTTATACATTCTGACCTGGATAACTAACCTTGGGTCAACATAAACTACACTTCTGTCGAACTGTCTATTCCCAAACCGTTCTCTTTATCTTCAACCTTGATCTCAAAGGGACGTTTTCAGCTAAGGTTATATTATTACTACTATCACCGATAATAAGTTTAGTTACTAAGCATAGAATCGAAACTTAAATAATAATAATAATTCGGAAAATTCTTCAAAAGTTTCCAAGTTTTGGAAAAATCCGGTCGTAGCCAATTTGATAATCCAGGGTTTTAATTACCAATGATCAGAGCATTGCTGTACACACTGACAACTCTATAGAATTATTAATTTAAATTCCCAATCTAGTTTATAATACTGTTTATTTTTGTAAATCAAAAGTAAGGAAGCCTATTATGCCTTCAGAAATAAAACAATAAACGCTTGAATGTCAAATAAATGATTATACAGGCTTTAGATACCTTTTTGTTGAGATTGCTGTCAGCATTCTCTTCAAATGGAGATGATGTCGGATTTCCTGTATTCATCGAGTACCATTTTATGGATTTTCTGAATAATTTCGATATTAAGTAATCATACGAGTAGTCAAACATTTTTTAAAGGATTTCTCACGTGCTGTTACCATGGCTTTTGTGCTGATCATGTGTTAATAGCTTTTAATGCTGTCTGTCTGTATTCCCGACACTGAATTTGAAAGTTGTTTCGCTTCATTCACTGTTTTGATTTAGGATCTCTTCAGTACTTAATCTCAATAAGTGAATCCATGTAATAGCTATCCGTCTTCTGGAGTGGGGATTAGTTTACCCCCTGTGTTGGGAAATGGGAGTTCAGTAAGTCCTCTACTGGTTATGAACTTATTTAGTTCAAGAGATCTATCACTCTTTCTGTTTGAGTTGTACAATACGACCTGAATATTTGTTGATGGTGTTGTGTTCACCGAGCTATATAGTTGAATTGCGAAGCTTTCATAGTCATTCTGAACAACACTATCACCGCCTACTTCGTGTAGGTTATCTATACAGCTAGGACAACTGAACATTATTCCTGTTGTGAGACATTGACAATGATCCATAGACTAAAGCTTTGTGGTAATTGGTAGTTAACAACAAAATTATTTATGTAATCTTGAGGACATCAATGTTCCTGTCGAATTGTTGTTAAGTTTCTATCATACTCATCCTTTTCATCGAAATCCTTATTTTTGAAATATTCATTTTAATTGAGATCATGAACTGAGCAATTATAGACTCATTGTAAACCTTGATAGATTGGTAGCCTAACATCAATTGGTTCATGATTTCGATTAAAACTCAACAATCTTCACAACCCTATACTGCTATGCATTTTATTTCAGCGGTTGGTGGCTTACGTTTTTGTTCAAAGTACAGTTCTCGTCGAAATAAAAGTATTGTACATACAAATGATGACGATGATGATGATGACGATACTGAGTCACATTCAGCTGATCAAAACCCAAATGATATTCGTTCACCTTCAGTCAGCCACTATGAATCAGATGATGAAGTAGAAGATGGTGATAATATCAGTCGAACTGTTGGAACTACAGACAACGTTGCACAAGTAGATGAAAAGTTAGTTTCTCGTGATAAATGTATAGATGAATCTTTTATTCCAAGACGTAGATCAACTAGATTAAGTGAGTTGTCCAAGAACACAACACCTGTAGATTGTTCTATTAACTCCAATGGAACGTCTTCATCGGTAAGATCTGTAATATTTGTTTTTTTTATATATTTATTTAGTTCCTCTTTTTTGAATATTTTGATATGTATAATAGATTATAACATTTCAACCGATTTTACATAACTTTTACTATCTTAAATTACGGATGGATTAGGTATATTAATTGATAGAGTTTGTTTTATACTACTCAAAGTAGTATCGTTTGCCGTTGCAAATGTGACATGAAACTGTGTTGTATTTAGTGAGTTATATAATTGAATAAACTAAACCGTTGATTGTTTAACTATAAACTAGGTGATCTGAAGTTATATTAACGATCTGTAATTTCCCACTTTCGCACACCGTACAACGACACTTGTTTTTGATATATTTCGATAATGCAATAAGAAGACGAAGTTTATCAGAATTATGTGATGATAGATTTGCGCAATACATTTCGAACAACCTGATCACCCCTAATATACTTGTTAAGAACATTTATATATGAAAATTAAAAGCTCAATTAGACAGGTTGAGGGTAAGTCATAACAAAGGAAAAATCATAAAGTACACAAAAACAAATGTGATTACCACTCTGAATAATAAATCAGTACCAGGGTAGGTTTAGTGTAAGCACAAATTATTTTTGAACACATAAAGGGAGTTTCAATTCCCGTATAGCCAAGGCTTCAATAAACCTTAGTATATGTCCTTGAAGGCTTTTGTATAACACTACAAGTGCTGACTTGATGTCAACCTTATGACCAGTCTCGATCAAATGTTTCGCAATAGAGGATGATGTCTGCCTATCCTATGATCTTCTTTGACCATTAGAATCTATTTGTTTCTGCGACCATTTTCGTATGTTTTCACCCACCCTTAATTGCAAATCGTGATTGTACCTCCCTATGTACGTGTTTCCGCACATGCATGTTAATTGATAGACACAATGGGATGTGACTCAATCACTTTCGTACTGTTTGGGCTTTTGGTGAAATATAGACCTTGTCCTTTCGACATATCTGAATAGGAAACTGGGTTCGTAGTGCTCGTGTCAACCTAAGCACTTGAATTCAGAGCCTGAGGGATTACTTTTCTTGTAATTAGTCACGGATAATCTTTTTGAATAGCTCTTACTATTTCAGTTTTCACCTTGGGAAACTTATCCACCAATGTCAGAAATCCTGGAGGTTGGATCAGGTGTGATACTTTTATGGTTGATTTTTTGAAATCTTTTCCTTTCATTGTGGGAATGCAGCATCGTTGGAGGTGCTGGATTCCTGAGAGAAACTTCTTATTGATAAATCTTTTGATATCGCTTGAGTCGCTTTCCTAAGTTCTTTTAATAACTCCAGGCTAAATGTAAACGAAAAGAGCGCATTACTCCAAGACTAGTTTATTTACAGAAAATTGACGTTATTTATGGCATTCCAAATGGCCTTTGACTTCTGGAAGGTTTTGGGACCTTAATAGACATAGTAGCAGGATAGGTGATCATCCATTTGGGAATGTGACACATGACTCTCTACTTTCTAGATGTTTCTAAGAAACCTCTGTCCAATGCTGGCTGGATAAAATGCTCACAAGTATTTTTAGGACCCCTCTGGGCTTTTCCAAAGAATATTCTGGGTCTCCTCAACATGTATTGTCATCATAGTCTAGTACCGTTGGCAGTGGGGCTTCAGTCTCTTATCTTAAGTTAATGCTTTTCGTTTCATGTCTCTCAAAAACCACTCTATCTGATTCATTGGGTCATCACAATATTCGAGCACGACGACCATATCAATATAGCAATGTAAGGGTATGTAAAACTCCGCTTGGAGCCCCTCTGGGGCTACTGCCGATCCCAAGCCTGGATAAAGGAGGAGGGTTGGACATGGGGTTAGCAACCTCATGCCGTAGAAAACTAACTCACTAAAAAAACGCTAGTCAGAAAAAAAACAATTAAAACCATTTCAACTTTGCCCTAGTAGTTAGAAGGTTTTCATTTAGAAGAGTTATGACGTCTCATGATGAAAACCGAGTTCTTTCGGAAGTCACGAGGCTGATCCTGTTTTTGACAATCAGAGCAAGCATTAATTTAGGTACATGGAATGTTCGTGCAAGGGAATGTAAGAATATTGCATAATTGTAAACAACGTATTTAACATTATACATTTTACAACATATTTAAATGAATTCTATCTGTTATTTTCACCTGGTATTTAAATTTACATTTCTAAAATTTCGGGATGAACTAGTTTCTTAAATTATAGTTATTCTGGTGTTATCTTCATTATACTCTACTATTTCAATCACTAAATGATTTATTATGATGGAATGATCCAATTGAGATTTTCTTACCTAATCACGTTTTATAATGATAATACAATTTGTGTATACATTTGTATATATATGTATGTGATTTCAGTTACCCGAAAATCAAAAACATGTAACTTCTGATGAGATGGTGACAGAACAATCTGAACTTAAATCTAATCAAACATTTTCCGATAAACAATTCACTCATTCTGATCAATTATGTAATAAAATTTCAAATGAAGATAATTGTGATGAGAATTTAACAAAAGTTGAAGAAAATCTTTCAACTGTAAGTATTTTTGATTGTTTTGAAGGTCACTTAATGATCCAGTTCATGCTTATTTAAATTTTTGTCATTGATTACAATGTACCTTTTATATCCGGACGAGAATAAATGAATTGTAACCGTTAGGAATTACTTATTTACGCCTGTTACTCCTAATGGAGCATAGGCCGCCAACCAGCATTCTCCAACCCACTCTGTCCTGGGCCTTCTTTTCCAGTTCCATCCAATTCTTGTTCATTTTTCTCATGTCTATTTCCATTTCCCGGTGTAATGTGTTCTTTGGTCTTCCTCTTCTCCTTCGGCCTTGAGGATTCCATGTGAGGGTTTGTCTAGTGACGCAGTTCGGTGCTTTCCTCAATGTGTGTCCTATCCACTTCCAGCACTTTTTCCTGATTTCTTCCTCCACTGGGATCTGGTTTGTTCTCTCCCTCAGTAGGTTGTTGCTAATAGTGTCCGGCCAACGGATCTGAAGTATTTTGCGTAGACAATTGTTAATAAACACCTGTATTTTCTGGATGATGGCTTTCGTAGTTCTCCAGGTTTCCGCCCCATAAAGTAGAACCGTCTTGATATTTGTATTGAAAATCCTGACCTTGATGTTGGTTGACAGTTGCTTTGAGTTCCAGATGTTCCTCAGTTGTAAATATCCTGCTCTTGCTTTGCCGATCCGCGCTTTCACATCTGCATCAGATCCTCCCTGTTCATCAATGATGCTGCCCAAATACGTAAAGGTTTTCACATCTTCCAAATCTTCTACGTCAATTGTGACTCGGTTGTTGCATGTTTTTTTAATTGAAAGTGCAATATACTACTTATTATCTTTATTTTGTCTTCTTTATAGGAACCATCTTGTGAATTATTCACTTTAATTGCCAAAGATTCACAAGAATTGAATCAATTATTATTAATTCTACGACAAATATTATATACTAATGAAGAGAAATTAAACAAGAAACAATGTATTGATGAATTAGATTTAAATTCTGATTGTGACAATCCAATACAAGAAGATGATGATAATGATGATAACATTATCAATAATCAATCTGTTGTTAAGAAAAAACAAACATTCCCGGAACAAAATGACAATCTTACAAATCAGGTAAGTGATTGATCAGTAATATTTATGTTTTGTGAGGTAAATGTATAATTTACAGAGTTATGATGTGGTGTGTGCTACTGATGTCGATAGATATAAGTAGTATATATCGCCAATTGAAAGTGGAGTGCCTGGTAGCAAGAAGTTAAGATCAACGAAAAGACAACGAGAATAGAGAATGATTGGCGTGGAAACGAAAGAACAATGAATTCTGAGACAATTGATTGACATTTTGCAAATGATTTATGTACAATATTGTTCTTAGATTTTACTTAGGTATTCAATCATCCCCACTTGTGTTCACGTTCACTACACTGGTATGATATGGAAAACTTGGGTGTCAGGTTCTACATTCATTTTTATTAATGTCTGATTTCAATTAATTGGGATAAGACGAATTTGGCTCCCTCCTATTACTGTTATTATTATCATTACTATTAAGCTAATCATTTCATTATTTATACATTGTTATTATTACATGCAATGCATTTACACTTGTGAATTGTTCTGTTTTGTTTATCAAATTCTATGAGTCTTTACCTAGTCATTTTTTTCCTTCTAATTTAAATCTAATGAAATACAATTTGATTCCGTTGATCTACGAGTTATTATTTAAAAGTTAATTAGATAAACTAAATTATGATAGATCATCAGCTTTATTAGTGGCTTCATTCAGATGATCGTCGCGTTATTTCACAACTTGACAAAAGTTTAAATTACTATCTTTGAAATATGAAATGTTATTCTAAAGGTTAGGTGTTCGTTGCAGATATTCGAGGTCCTACATTCAATTCCTGTTGATGTCTTGGGTTTTCACTGATGAAACGTTTTGTAGTAGGATGAACTACTTGTTTGGTGCTTTCAAATTTTCACTGCTACCCCAAATGAAATTCATCGGTGGAGAATACAATTTACAAACAGGAGATAGTTTGTATACTTTTCTTTAATCACTCCTTGAATATATTCACATTTGACCATTGAAATAATCACTTACCAATTGTTAGTATGTTTTAGAATGATGTGGATCAGATTGTTTTATATTTTAAGGTTATTTATTCTCGACCGTTTCTGCTTCCTTGACGTAGTGGTCGGGTTTGCCTATCGTGATGAACCAATCGAGCTATACTGGATGGAACAATCGTTCATCAAGGTCTTACCATGCCAGACAGGTCGGTTGAAGAGCGGTAAGGCTAAAAACAGTAAACACAATGTCTGAGGGCGAAGTCGTACTGCTGATTGTACAGAGATGTGACGGCAATAAGGTGTTTCCCTCGGGAAACCAGCGTAATAGCGATGCTGCCTTCCCACAAGGAGGAATGGGGTTAGGAAAGCTCGAGCCTGAAAGTGCACACTTCGCCTTGTCGCACGGATATCCGTCTCTGGCGGTAAGGTCTCAACAAGTACGGAGCTAACATGAAAACTACTCACAAAAAGGTTATGCGTGGCCGGTCTCAAGCAGTTGTCCCTTGGGCACTGCAGTCATGCTCTTAGGTCACTAAGATCACTCCTAACCCAATTTCTTTTTCATGGTGTGGACAACCGGGCAGTGATAACCGCCCTCATACCTGTAACAGGTTATTTATTCAGTAAGATTTTCAGGTAATGATGTTACAAGTCGTTACTATTAGATTGCATTAAATTTTCAACTAAAGTTTCATTTAACTTCATACTTATGCACCTACTAATTACAACTCTGTTATTCTTTTCTATATTATGATTGTTAAAAATTAAGAAAACTGTACGGTTACGTAATGCAATTGGATCATTAAAAAGTCTTATTGAAAATTTAGAACAATTATATAAATCTGTATTGAATCGAGAAAATGAACGTGTTGATGCTCAACGATTAGCTCGATTACGATTACGTAAAGATGTTGAACAATGGGAGGCGAATGAAGTAAGTAATAGAATTCTAATTTGGATGATGTTAGAAAACAATTCTGTAATCAGACGTTAGGCTCCTTTATGTCATATGATCAAGTTTTAGTAAGTACGAAGTGGTCAACAATTCAAATTCGTGAAATGTTTTACACTAGTGATTAATTAACTGAGGGTTACTTGAATTTTTAGTGTTAACATTGATTTCCAGATTTTAATTTTGAACTTTATCTACTTCGATTTAAGCAGTCGGGTTGGTGTCTGACGAAATCTCAGCACGGATTCAAAAAGGTCGCCTGGCTTTTGCCAACTCACGTCACCTATGGCAAAGGCCAGATATTCGACTATCAATTGAGGGACAAGTATACTGCGCGGCAGTCCGTTCTGTTTTAATTTACGGCAGCGAAACATGACCATTAAGGGTAGAAGACACTCATAGGTTGCTAGTATTTGGCCACAGATCTCTTAGAAATATTGCTGGCGTCTGCTGGAATCACTGGGTATGTAATAGTGAGGTTAGACGCAAGGTATTAGGGAATGGTGGTGAATCAGTTGATGAGGTTGTGAATCTTCATCGACTGAAATGGTTGGGTCACGTGTTGCGTATGTCTGAACACCGATTACCATGACGTGCAATGCTAACCGGTGTTGGGGATGGTTGGAAGAAAGTTAGGGGCGTCCAAACCAAAACGTGGCATCAGTTCTTGAAGTCACTAACTTGTAGTCTGAGCCATGTTGGTAGATGCAGACTACTTGGTTGGGGTCCGCATGACTTTCGTAACCAATGGTTGGAGAATCTTGGTGACATGGCTCAGAATCGATCGATGACAATGGCATAGGTGTATACACTCCCTATCTTCCCTTAAACTAAGAGATTAAAATCACTTCATATTTTTCTTTCTATGAACTAATTCTTTCTTCCTGTACTATATCCTTATTGCAATCTTTCTTTTATATATTACCACCTCTGAATTAACTACTTTTATGAATCTATTGTTCATCTTGTTGTGTTAATGAGGTATGGCAACTTGGACCGATTCATATATGTGCCTGGTCCTACGTTGTAACCTGACTGAGGCAGTCGGGTAGTATCATTAGCTCCCAGTGCATAAAATCTGTGCTTCACAAACAAATTATGGTTTCTAGGCAACATTTGATTTATTAAAAGTATATATACTTATTAAATATATATAAGAACATTTCCATGAATGTTTAAGGAGTTAGTCAACAATTGTGCGTCATTCCGAATTGGTACATTTAACACCAACACATAGAGAGAGTAAATTAACAAAATGCAAAACAAAGAAACGAAAATTATATTGACTTAAGTGAACATTTAAACATGTACTACTGCATGTACACTACTACAGTATTCAAGAAAAAAAAACCAAGATTGAAGGATCAATAATAGAGAATCACACTAAAGTTTTAGTGAAAGTATAAAAATAAATAGGAATACATTAGTGTAACCAGTTGTGTACCATATCATCCAACATCTGCAATCATTAATTACAACATGTGACTTCAATTAGAAAGTGTACATTTATTTATTTAAACATATAAACCTTGGTACAAGGAGGTACCAAAAAGATATGCGCCATATAAATTGTTCGAGTTGTGTGAGCGCCCGGATGCACAAATCACAGCAAGTGGTTTTCTTAAGGGGCCACACTCGGAGTCTTCAACCTTAAGGTCTGATCCACAATGCAGTGGAGCAACGTTAGAAGATGCAGTTCCATTGTATCCGGTGACCAACGATTGGTTCATACGCCATTTGTTCCCTCAAGATACTGGAGCCCATGTGCATCATTGGTTTGGAATGAGGGTTTTCCAACCAACCTAGGTGAACTCTCCGAGTCCACCAACCCAGATAAATCGCCGGACATTCAGTCTTCGCCCTCTCAAATTCGTAAAAAACACCACCACCGTGACAAGTCAGTGAGTTAGACTTCCCTGGCAGTGGCTGTATACGCGTGGCCATGTGAGAGCATTTTGAGCGAGAGAGAGAGAGAGAGAGAGCTGACTCTCCTCACTCTCGCCCTAATGATATGTTATAATCTGCCCAATGTAACTATTTTATAATCTGATTGTATGCAAAGTTAATGTACACAAACAAAATTTTCATGAGTAGTTTGTGTTTCCATTAATGCTTATTTTATATTACAATAGCGTTTGTGTTAAATTTGGTATTATTATTCTCTTGTCTAAACTGATAGAGATGGATCGTTGTTTGAACCTAATTATAAGATGAGTTGCTTTCACTCAAATAATCATTTAGATTCTCATGAAGAAGATAGAATGTTGCTGTTGTTGTTTTTTCAGATTTTGCATCGACGAAATACGAGTCTAAGTTTTTGTTTGAAAACTAATCTCAGAAGGGGTTTTTGTAGATATAATAGTAATTTCAATAGTTGATATCATGAGTCAATTGAAACTAGACCACCATGAAAAATCTGGAAGCATTGGACTGCCGTTTCGTCCTAGTATGGGACTTCCCAACAATCTCGCGCGCGAGTGCTAAACCACTAGACCACTAAGCTGGCATCCAAAGGAGTTAATGTCTAACTTCAACTAATCTACGAAGTTGAGCGACATATTCACCATTGTCATCAGTGAGTTACTATCTCGCACGCGATAATGATAGCTCCTGGGTTCAAATTTCTCGAAGCGAGGTCGTAGATGCACACTGCTGAGGAGTTCTACAATAGGACGAAACCACCGTCCAATGCTTCCAGGTTTTTCATGGTGGTCTAGCTTCAATTGACTCATGATGTCAACTATTGAAAACTAATCGTCTTCTCAGTTTCGATTGATTATATCTTATTAACAAAGAAAAACTATAATGTCGTTATTATTATCTCTTATCCAGTTAATCATTTTTCATGCTTAAAACATTTGAATTTTTAATAGGCTGAAAAACATAGAAAACAATTGAAAATGAATCAGAATAACAAAATTAATAATCAGGAATCTCGTCTAAATCTTTTAGCATCACTACGAACTGATCCATCAAAAGATCGTGCTGAACGACATTCAAGGCGTGAACAACTTCGTGCACAAGATTTAACTAACGATGAAGCATATGAAAGTGAATATGATAGTGAATCTAATGAACAGAATATAAGCAGACAATCGAACAATTCACCCAAATCAATCACAGTTACAATGAGTACTGATACTAGATCTAGTAGTGTGAAAAATATTAATCAAAATAGTTATCAAGCTTTTGCATCACGTATCAGTGCAAGTGGATCTCCGAAAATACCTATATCACGTTTTAATAGTCAAGATTTAATACCGAAAATTCGTCGATCTTTCATGTTGGATCCAAGTAAAAATGTCTCCATTTTGCCTAGACCATCAGGAACACAGGGGAAACCAACTAGTCCTACAAGTTCGAATAGTAATAAGAATAATACTGGGAGTGAGATAAATCATTCATTTCCGCATGTATCACACTCAACATTCCGATCAAACACACATCGCTCTCCTTCAATTCTACGTACTGGTTTTCCTAAAACATCACCATCGGGTATAAATCATTCAAATGGGTTATCTGTTCTTAATCCAACTACTTCTCCATTATCGAATAAGAGGAAGATATCCTCAAATGTCTTATTATCACCGAAATCACCTTCATCAATGACGACAACGAATACTTCGAGTAATACTACTACTGTTACTCCTCCTCCTACTATTACTATTACTAGTACGTCGCCAAATAAGACATCAACACTTGTCCGAAAAATTTATCGTGTATGTAACACTTTATTTACTGAAGATGCAAGACCTGTGAAAATTGGTCCTAATGGTTCGTTAGTTCTTATACCACCAGATAGTGTACCATTAAATCAACGTCAATTAGCAAGTCAAATGATATCTCGTTATCATCAACACGTGAATGCAATTTCTGTAAAACCTAATTCAATAACTCATCCTCCAACAAGTTCATCGCCATCATCATCATCATTATCTGTTACTTCGAATTCTTCGTCTCTTAGTAATACAATAACCACCACCACCACCACCACCACAACAACAACAACAACTTCTTCTTCTGCTACAACAATAGCAGTTATGACATCCAATGTATCAAAAGAATCAAATTTCCCTTCATCATCGTTGACTAGTCCTGTTAAATTATAAATATTTATTTATTATTATTATTATTATTGTTATATATAATTATTTTATTACTTGAGTTTTTGTATACATCTAACAATTATCATTGATTAAGTAAATATGACATACTTACACATATTACCTTCATGAGGAGCATAAGCATAAGCAGCTTCCCATTAACATTCTCCATCTAATTCTATCTTGAATGTATCTTCATGTATATTACATAATTACTGTCTAGTCATCATTGGTTATTGTTCTATTATACTAATTTTGTATTAAACATGATCATAATAATTGTAATTAATCAGTTTACAATTTCATTTCTATCTAATATGGATGTAATGTTGTGTTGTTAATTAATCTTTCATAATGAAGAGAAAAATAAAAACGATTATATTCACTTTTCTTTCTTTTCTCCTTTTTTAACAGCTGTTTATTGGCTTCCTTCTCTTTTCTTTTCTTTTCTTCTTTTCTCTTGTTATATCTATCTAACTAGTCAATTCTCTTCTCAACAATTGTTCTTCTTTGTCACACACACACACACAAACAAACAAACAAACAAGCACACACACACACACACTCAATTCTTTTTATTGTTTATGATTGTATTACCGGTTTATCAAGTTATGTGTTACCTTAGCTGTTTTGTTGTTGTTGTTGTTGTTGCTAGATCGATTGATTGATCTATTCAATTGTTTATATTTCATGAATGATAATTGTATGCATTTATATGAATAGTTTAGTTGGTTTTGTTTTGTTTTTTTTTTGTATATAAGAAGAGTGAAAGAAAGAAAAAGGGTGAAACATTCAAATGGATCTTATTTATTGTGTAAAAAATAATTCGTTTTGTTTTTCTTTCTCTGTGTGTGTGTGCGTGTGTACTTTGTCATTTTTGTTTGCCTTCAATTTGAAATTTTTTTTTGTATAATTGTAAGTTTTGTTGCTAGACGAAATATGTTACTATCAGTTGATATGTCATATTTGTTTTATTTCTATTCTAATAGAATTGAATTCTTACATTTGATCTCATTCAGTAAGTTTATTAATTATTATTTAAACATATCAACATTGGTACAACAAGACACTGTATAGATATGCACCATATAAATCATTCGATTTATGTAAGTGCTGGAATATTACTCAGGTGACCACACCTGGAGCCTTTGACATAAAGGTTTGGTCCATTAGACAGTGCAGTAACGTCAGAATATACAGTCCCATGGTAGTCGGTGACCCACAATTGGTTCATACGTTATTTGTTTCTTTAGGATTCTGGAGCCCCTGTGCACCATCGATTTGAAATCAGGGTTTTCAAACTCACATGGGTAGACTATCCGTGTCCACCAACCCTGTTGAAGCAGGTGCCGGACATTTGGTTTTCGTCTTCTCAACTTCCTATTCAACAGTAATTCTACGAGAAGTCAGTGAGTAGGATTTTCCTGTCAATGGATGTATACGCGTGGTCATGTCAAAGCATTTCGAGAGGCAAAGCTGACTCTTCCTACTTTCGACCGTACCAGGGTATTTGGGGGCCGTGTAGTCATTATCAGAGTAGAGTTTTGAACACATGTGTGTTGGGCCAAGTTGCTATATCATATTAGTACACCGTGTTACGATTGATAAGAGGAATAACAAATTTGTTCGAAATAATGTAGTGGGAGTGATTATGGAGATGAATGAATATTGAGAATATGGTTCGAAAAGACAAACTGGAAAGAAAAAGGGTGAATGCATCTTCACCATTGTGAACGGTTCTGAACCATGTCATTTAGTATCTCTAACCACTGATTGTGGTATTTGATCGAGTTCCGACCAGGTAGTCTGCATCTACCATTATGAAGGGGTCTTAATACTCAACTATTTCACTCCTGCCCATTAGTTCAGGCGTCGGTACAGATCAGTTCTGAAGCAACGATATACAGTTAGAGAGAGAAGCGCATCCTAATCATGCTTGGATTGTTGCTCAAAGCAAATAGAAGATTTAGCATTTTCCATGGTCTTTACCAAAAAGCACTATTATCTGCTACTCCAAATTGCTTTGTAAAGTTTCTGGTGTGTGATCAACCCCTAAAAATTAGGTGAAGAGTGTTATTTCTAGCAGGACGTCTGTGACAAAATTCACTAAAAAGGAGCGTAGTTAACAACACTAATTAACTCCGTTTTGTGTTGATAGTTCTGATAACAGTTCATCATTACCTGTGAATCGAATAACAGTGTTCGTTTAAAGAATTTGTACAAGGTAAATTTACTTCTTCCGATGACGAGCATTGCTACAAATTGTGATGATCAGTAGAGTTTATTATTGCCTTAAGATCAAGAAATACAACTACAGTCGTCTTTCGGTTGGTATGCCTTTATTCCATAACGTGAAGAAAGGCGACAATTAGATCTATTACGGAACACATGCAAGTTTGAAGTCAGTCAGATTCCTCCCGCTTCGCTGTTACTGATAAGCGTCAAATCATTATGGAGGCTAGTATTTCTGATACTATATCCACCAAAGTGATTCCCGTATGGTTATCACAAGAAGATTTTAATACTTTTTTATAACCCTCGACGATTGAGTCCACTCAGATCGGATTAGAATCAGCCCTCCAACTCTAGGTATTATATCAGCTTAGCTATTTTAACTGGACCACAGTACATCCAGATTTCTGGAATTAATCTGTCAGTTCCTTTGGTTATTTCTTTTTTCAACTTATGTATCGTAATCTAAATTATTGAAATATTAAATGCAATACAAATATTGAGCCAAATTATCTTTTCTATGTGTATACGTGTAGGCTGCACAAAGCTAATTAGATTTTCAAACTCTAGATGTATTATATTCAATTGATGTTGTTTTACTTGTATCTTCCCATTGCTATTTAGGACTGCAATCGATGTCTCATGTTGGCATATGTTCATCATGTGCGGATTGCCTCGGTATAGCCTTAAGTCACAAGCTTTTTAAGCAAAGATGGATAATGGCTAGCAGTGGAATCCAGTTTGATGCACGTTCCATCCTATTTGGGACTCGTCATCCGGATGTACCTGCATTGTCGAGTTGATGTTCACTCTAGGTCTCGAACCCAGTACCGTTCGCTTCAAACGCCATCGCCTTATCCACTTAGCTAGTGATTTTTGAACACCACCTGCTGATCAATTGCAGTCCTAGCACAATAATGGGAAGATACAAGTAAAACAACACCAAGTGAATTTAAACTTCACCCCATCGCACAAGCAGGTGGCTCTCAGGACTCAGTTGCTAAGTAGATAACGCGATGGCGTTTAAAGCAAACGGTACTGCGTTCGAGTCCCAGCGTGAACATCAGCTATATGATGCAGGTACATTCAGCTGACGGGTCCCAAATAGGACGGAACACGTGTCGCACTGGATTCCACTGCTGGCCACTATCCATCCATTATTGAAATATTGTTTTAATTCCCGGACTGATTCGTATAATCAATGGAATTTGATATATGAGTGACAGAAAGCAGTTGTTTGATAAATCAAGTTTTTTTAGTAGATTTTGTTTCAAACAAAATTTGCTAGAGGACCAGATCATGTTAGAAAACAAGAGCTGTTAACTCGTAGCCTTACACTTCTCAATAATGCTCGTTCATTATTTCACAAAGAATAGAATGTAGAATCTGAAATCGATCTCGGCGAGTATGATATTTTGGCAATACCAAATCAGAATTGAATGGTCTATGCTTTCAATCACTTTGTTATACATTCCATTCCTCGTCTACTATCATAGTTGAATCTACGGGTTTATCCCTTTCTCGTAGTTGATACTAGTTGATGATACTTATTTGTAATAAACTGCGAGTGTACTTCGTATCGTTATAATTCTTGGCTCGGTATAGTTGAAGATAACTCGTAGGATTATGTCGATAAATGTATCATTGACAATCTAATTGTTTTCAAGCAGTGACAAGGTTATAATTATCTTGTCTTATTTCGGCTCTTTAGATTAACTTGTGAAGATTCAGTTACAATATTTCATAGTTAATCGATATCAGTTATATACGTCAAACTAAATATAAATTATACATGTGTCAATTATTGAACAGAAGTACTTTCAATATTTCACTTTTTAGGTTGATATAAACTCCTGAACAATGTCTACTACAGCTAGTAGCTAATATCTCATGGGAATATGGCTTCTTGTAAAACTTCTTTTCAAAATCTTAGCAGTAGGAAAACGACAATCACAACGATGCTTCTGAATGCCAATGATGAGTTTCAATTATTATAGAGCTTTTTCTTTAATCTTAAGTGCTTCCCATTAAAATTCTGTCATAGAACTTATCCTAATTAAGTAGGTATCATTGTGGTGTGGATTGCTTATATCCACATAAGTAGTATATAACGATGGCCAGGCATAAAATTTATTTCAGTAGAAGATCGAGAAAAAAAGAACACGAACAGAAAGCAGTTAGTATGAAAATGTCTGAACAATGAAATCTGAGACAAGGGGCTGATATCTACAGAAGGAACAGTCGAGTTTATGACAATGGATCGATATTTTGCAAATTAACTATTTACTATATGGTTCTTAGATTTTAGTGAGATGTTCTGTAATTTTGTACTCAAATACATTCAATTGTCCCCACTCATGTTCTTGTTCACTACATGATTACCAAGGTTTGACTTGACAATTTCAAATAAATTGAGCATTGGGTAGATTGTTATATCTAAAAGTCATATATTCGTAATAACTTATTGAGTAGAAAAATTGAATTTTTTCGACATTTCTTATTACAAAACAACGAACACCCTTCGAAATACTTTAGTTCGCTTAAGAGAGAAAAAATCCCCATTATGTCAACTCAATTCTGAGAATTGTGTCTACAAATGAGGATGTGTCGATTGTGATGCCTTTTACATTGGAAAGACATCTCACGAAATCTTGGCTCGAGCCAAAGAACATCTTAGGTACACAAAGAAATCATCTAATAGTTCCGTAGAACTGGATAGATTTCAAATTAAATCGGCAATAGCAGTTCACACGATTTTCATCAACCGTCAAAATAGTATAAAAAGGTTTTTCCATCTACAAAGTAAGGTGAATAGCTGAATCTTTCTATGTAATGCTTAATCCTATTGGCTTCACTATACATCCGACTTTGATTATCTATCCAAGCTACCATATCTGATTCTATTTACATTTCCCCGACCGAAGCTGCTACCTTGACGCGGTGGTCGGGCTTGCCTATCGTGATGACCCAACCGAGCTATATTGGCTGGAACATATGTTCCTGTAGGTTCTACCATGCCAGGCAGGTCGATTGGTGAACGGTAAGACTAAAAGCAGCAACTCAAGGTCTGAGGGCGAAGTCGTACTACTGACTGTAGAGTGGTGTGACAGCAGTAAGGTGTTTCCCTCGGACAACCAGCATGACAGCGATGCTGCCTTCCCACAAGGAGGGATGGGGTTAGAAAAGGTCGACCCTAAAAATGCACACCTCACCTTACCTCACGGATCTCCGTCTCCGGCGGTAAGGCCCTTTGAAGAACGGAGCTAACACGTCAAAAACCTCCCACGAAAAGGCCGTACGCGACCGGCCTCAAGCAGTTGTCCCTTGGGCTCTGCGGTCACGCTCCCGGGTCGTTAAGACCAACACTAATCCAATTTCCTTTTCAGGTTCCTCAAGAAATACCCTTCCACGGTGTGGGCAGCCGGGAAGTGACACCAGCCCTCATACCCGTAACAGCACACGAGACCAAGTTGGTCACATTCAAATCCTTCCTACACCTCTTAATACCTCTCTTATCTCCATGACTAACCCTCCTCACGTCTCTTTATCACCTCGCACCGCTAGAGCAAACGATTCGTGTACGTGGAACGCTATTCCTGGTCTCCTGAAACCACGCTGTAAACTACACGTAGGAGCTTTTAACGTCCGAACACTGTGCCAAATAGGACAGCAGGCTTCCTTAGCCAGGACTTTAGAATCTCGCGCCATCGATGTGTGCTGCGTCTCCGAAACGCGCATACAGGATCCGAGTAGCGTCATTCATTTGACCTCACCATGCCAAAATAAAGAACCGACTCGATTTACGATCCGTGGATCTGGAAGCCCTGATTCTGCTTCCCATGGCCTCGCTGGCGTAGGTATAGCATTGAGTCCTAGGGCAGAACTAGTTCTCTTAGAGTGGATCCCAGTAGACAATCGTTTGTGCGCTGTCCGACTAAACGGAACAGTAAGGACTCGGAAAGTTAAGGACACTCATCGTTGCCTCTGCCTATTCTCCCACTGAGTGCAGCTCAGATGCTGTAAAAGATGAGTTTTATAGAAAGCTTTCCTACCTTCTCCCAAGAGCTAGGCGCCCTGATATAATAATGGTGGTTGGTGACTTTAATGCTCAAGTGGGTAAACTAAGCGATAGGGAAAGACACCTAGGTGGATCTTATGGTGTCGTGGCTCAAAGAACAGATAATGGCGACCGTCTGTTGCAGCTATGTTCAGATAACCGCCTGTTCCTTGCAAATACTAACTTTAAGCATAAGGAAAAACATCTTTTAACATGGCGACCCCCTAATTCGTCCCAACGTTGGACCCAAATAGATCACATCGCTATCAGCCACCGATGGAGGGGCTCGATAGAAGACTGTCGCTCATTCTGGAGCACATGTTTAGATTCAGATCATGCTCTAGTACGAGCGCATATCTATCTGCGTCTTACTGGACGTAGGAAAGACGCTGCAAGGAAACCTCTTAGGGCCCTACTTAATGATAGTCAAGCTAAGAGTATATTTCAGGAACAACTAGGAAAACAGTTATGCAGCCATGTATGTGATGCCCACCCCGAGGCAGCATGGAATGATATCCGAAAAGCTGTGGAAACAGCAGTGATATCTGCTAGTAAGGTAAACCAGAAGGTTAGGGAACAACACTGGATCTCAGCAGCATCTATCGCACTGATAGATGCTCGGAAACTCATTCCACCTGGCTCTGAACATAATGAAGAGCGGAGTCAGCTTAAGCGCAAGCTGACAAGAAGTCTACGCAATGATCGCGAACAGTGGTGGGTAGCGAAAGCAAGAGAGATGGAAAAGGCAGCGGCAATAGGTAATAGCAGACAATTGTTCAGACTCGTTAAGGAAACCGGAATTAGGAACCCGACCGTTAGCGAAACAATCTCAGAGAAAGATGGACATATTATTCATTCTCAATCCAGGAGATTGGATCGATGGGCAGAACACTTTAGGGATCAGTTCAACTGGCCTTCAGCCACACTTCGGTTTCCCACGATCTCTAGTCAACCTGAATGGCAAGTTAATGTAGGTCCTCCGTCCCTTTACGAAGTTGAAAAACCATAGGAAATCTGAAGCGAGGGAGAGCATCAGGCCCTGACAGGTTTACCCCTGAGATTTTTAAGGATGGTGGTCCAGTATTAGCAATGAGATTAACAGAGGTCTTAGGTAGAATTTGGGAACTGGACGTAATCCCATCTGACTGGTCTCAATCACTGATTGTGCCAGTCTATAAGAAAGGACAAAAGTCCTCTTGTGACAATCACAGAGGAATCAGTTTGACTAATATAGTGTCTAAAATATTAGCCTCAATAATACTTCGACGCCTAATCAAAGCTCGTGAAGAGCAGATTAGAGAAAACCAGGCCGGTTTTCGACCTGGACGTGGTTGTATAGATGAGATATTCACACTACGTCAGGTTCTAGAACACAGACACACATTCAGACGCCCCACAATGGTAGTATTTCTCGACCTTAAGGCGGCATTCGACTCTGTTGATCGTGAGGTTCTGTGGCAGTGTTTGTCACTGAAAGGAGTGCCAAGAAGTACATTAACCTTATAAAGGCTCTCTACTCGAACACAACCGGTCGAGTGAGAGCTTATGGCGAACTGTCATCAGAATTGATTACCTCAAGTGGTGTTCGTCAGGGCTGTCCACTCTCCCCATTCTTGTTCAACTTTGTGGTCGACGTACTTTTAGAGATAACGCTCTCCTCATCTAAATTTCCAGGGGTTGAACTTCTACCGGGAGGTTCACTTGTTGACTTAGAATATGCAGATGACAGAGTTTTATTTGGTGAAGACGCTGACAAAATGCAGAGTCTTCTGACCACTCTAAGCAACAATGCAAGCATGTTCGGGATGCGATTCTCTCCCTCGAAATGCAAAATGTTGTTTCAGGATTGGGTTGTATTGACACCCGAACTAGTGATAGGGAGTGAAGTAGTTGAGTGTATCGACCGCTTCACTTATCTTGGAAGTCTCATCAGCCCTTGTGGTCTGGTTTGTGACGAAATCTCAGCACGGATACAGAAGACTCGACTAGCTTTTACCAACTTGCGTCATTTATGGCGTAGGCGAGATATCCGTCTATCAAGCAAAGGACGGGTTTACTGCGCAGCAGTTCGTTCCGTCCTTCTTTATGGCAGTGAAACATGGCCGGTAAGAGTAGAGGATATTCGTAGGCTACTAGTATTCGATCATAGGTGTCTTCGAAATATTGCTCGTATATCATGGGACCATCGAGTAAGTAACACAGTTGTTAGGAAACGGGTACTAGGTAAGGATAGCAAATCAATTGATGAAGTAGTGAAACTTCATCAGTTGAGGTGGCTGGGACACGTGTTACGTATGTCCAACGACCGACTGCCTCGACGTGCTATGTTCAGTGGTATAGGAGTAGGTTGGAAGAAAGCTAGGGGCGGCCAAACCAAAACATGGCACAAGTCCATAAAGTCACTGACAAGTGTACTGAGTCATGTTGGTAGGTGCAGACTACCTGGTTGGAGACCGCGAGATGATAGCAACCGATGGTTAGAGACCCTGAATGACATGGCTCAAAATCGTTTGCAATGGCGCAGGTGCATCCACTCTCTGTGTTCTCCCAAATTCTAATCTTCTGAATTCTTCATGTCTCTTTTTTTCCTCTTTCCAAATTTATTTCACTGGATTATACTCCTTGAATAACATCTCCAAACCCTAATCTTCCCGATTACTGCTTATACTCTTATTACCTCTACCACTAAGGGATTTGAATCGACAACTGCATCTCTGTGCTTATGTGGTGTGGCAACTCGACCAAAATTACAGGCGGCCTGCTTGAGCATCTGGGCTACCTGTTCCTGCCATCTAGATATTTCAACAAGTTATCTATTTTTGTTTGTTTTAATGTATCATTATGTCTATTAATCGCACAACCTATTCTGCTGCGTTTCTGAAAAGTGTACAACCTTTCGTTGTCAAAGTTACAAAAAGCTCAAAAAGAGAGAATATTGTTGCTGGCAATATACAACGAAAAGAATGTACATTATTCAGATGTTCATTTACTGGACTGTTAACATCTAGCTGACGATCACTCAGTATTTATCGCGAGGACCGACCAAGAAGAAAGAAACGGAAACTTGTTAAAATACTTTGTGCTGAGAATTCTATATTGTACCAATAATATAATATTGAATAAAGCTAATAATAATAATAATAATAATAATAATAATAATAATAATAATAATAATAATAATAATAATAATAATAATGTATGTATGTACGTACGAAGTTCTACGTTGTTACTGACTGACTGACTGACTATTTACATTTCACACTTATTGTGCATACAAATTAAACTATCCTCTCTCACCACAAAGGTCACATATATTTTTTATCCCTGTTTTCAGTTGATCGCACCTAATATTCTTGTTTTATTCATTTGTACTATTTAAACTTGGATTAATTTTGATTTGGTTATTTATTCGCTGATGAAGTGGCTTACACTGAGTCACGAAATGTCAAAATATTTAATTTTTCTACTCGTTAGGATATCACAAATATATTCTTATTTATTCTGATTAATCTATTAGTTGAATTCATGGGTCAATTGAAGATAGATCACCATGGAAAACCTGAAAGCACTCGACGGTATTTTCGTTCTAGTATGGGACTCCTCAGTGGTGCGCATCCACGATCCCGCCTCACAAGGTTCGAACCCAGGACCTATCTCTCTCACGCGTGAACTCTTAAATTTTAGACCACTGAGCCGGCATCCAACGGCGATAATGTCTAACTTCAACTAATCCATGAAATAGCACCACTGTCCACCATTATATTCAATGAGTCACTGCCTCACATCAAACACAGTTGAACTTCACCAGTACTTCCTGGTTTTCCATGATGACCTGGCTTTGATGTAATGTAGTATTTATTGTTATATCCCGACGAAAATTATAAATGGTGACTTTTGAGAACAGTTTATGGATTAATACGCTGCATACATTTTTATTGTATAATTCTTAAGTAGCTGAACTGTACACTTTGATATTCCTCTTATTATAAGCTTTATTTTGACCCATTAACTATTATTATACGATTTACCATTCTTGAATTACATCCTGTCTATTAATCACTACCTCCCACATTCACAGCCACATTTGGCTCAATCTTGTACATATGTTGTTTCCTATTTTATGGTACTATGTGGTCTGTTTGGTTTGTATATAAACCCAGTATGTTCACATAGCAGAGGCTGAGATTAGTGTTCTGAACTCTAACAAGCAAAAAGAAGGACTGATAAAGACTATAGACTGCTCGTACGAGTTTTATGCTTCATTGATCCGGTTGATAAATCGCTGTTTGCTAATCGGAGATATCATTACGTTATATATTGATAGGAGTGTAATGCCACGAGTGATAGCAATAATGAGTTATTCACATCATTAATCAACCAAACAACATCAACAAATCTCTTTAGATTCATGATATACATAGACTATGTTTTGGAAGTAAATAAAAGCAAGCTGAAAGGCACAAGTAATTCATTACAATAATAATAATGAATGAATGAAAGCTTCATTGTTGTTGAAATGAAGATAGTTTGTTATTTATTAATGAAAATAATAACAGAACATTATTTTATATTCATCCCCCTCCCGCTCGAAAAAAAAGTTATTCTCCCAATAATGCCAAGAGTAACTTGCGAAAATCTCCCGATGTATCTTCTCGTACTGCTTCAATTAATGGTTTACCAAAATATTCACGATACATTGATTTCAGTGTATTCATATCAATCTAATGATAGAAACAAAAAAAATTGGTGATTGAATCTAGAAGATTGAGATATCAACTTATTTTAATACTTAATTAGTCGTGTGGTGTTTGCTACTGATGTTGAAAGATGTAAGTAGTATGTATGGTCAATCAAAAGTGGAATGCCTGACGACAGATGATTAAGAAGATCGAAGAAAAGAAGACAAGAACAGAGAATGATTGCCTAAGTGTTCTTCTAACCTACTTCTACACCAGTAAACTTAGTCCATCTATGTGGACAATAGTTAACCAAATGTACGATATGTAAATTTAATCGGAAACATTTAGTAGTTGCATATATCAACTACCTACTGTGGGAGAGAACAAACCAGATCCCAGCGGAGGAAGAAATCAGGAAGAAGCGCTGGAAGTGGATAGGACATACATTGAGGAAAGCAGCCAACTGCGTCCCAAGACAAGCCCTCATATTGAATCCTAGAGGCCAAAGGAAAAGAGGAGGACCAAAGAACACATTACGCCGGGAAATGGAGACAGACATGAGAAAAATGAACAAGAATTGGATGGAACTAGAAAAGAAGGCCCAGGACAGAGTGGGTTGGAGAATGCTGGTTGGCGGCTTATGCTCCATTGGGAGTAACAGGCGTATGTATGTAGGTAAATAATATATCAACTATATACATACCTCACATCGTAAACAGGTAATTCGTATCAGTGTATCCTCTCGTGTTCCAAGTCCATACATACTATCATATAATTGACAGACTAATAACAAACGTAAATCTATCAATGCCATAACTGTTTTAAAGAAGAAGAAGAAGAAACAATAATAATTGTAGACTTAATATACAAAAAAGACGATAATTATATTGAATTGCATTGAATTTTCATGCGTTGAATATGACTAAATTTCAAAAAAGGTTTTATAGTTAAAGCAGTTCGTCCCTTTGATAAATTTCGATCGTGTAATAAGAAGACGAAGATTATCAGAATTATGTAATGATATATTAGCGCAATACATATCGTCCACATATGTGAACGATATTTTAGTTGTTAGTGAAAGAAAAGAGGATATATACTGTTTATTGAATAAATTGAACACTCTCCAAAACCATAACAGTCTCTCATGTGAAGAGGAGAGGAACGATCAGCTCTCCTTCCTAGATATACTTTGAGTCGACGAGAAGATGGCTCAGTCAAGCGTTCCATTTTTCAGAAAACCAACGTGGACAGGTCAATACCTTAGTTATTATTAGCTTATTACCCTGTGCAATACAAACGTGGTTTGATAAGGTACCTTTTCAACAGGCTTGATCGTAGTTGTATAAATAATACCATTGATGATGTTAAGTTGCTAAATAAAACGTTACTAGGAAATGGCTATCCTCTGAGATTCATAAATAGATGGAAAGTCCATGGTACAACGAGACCTACTGTAGGCTCGGTAGAGAAAAAGCCTGTCTACATCACCTTACCGTTCAGAAGTGATTCAAATAGTCTTTTATTGAAACAAAGACTTAAATCAGTCATCAACAAAACGTATTGCGCAGCAAAGGTCATTATCAAAGAAAGAACAAGGTGCATGCTTCATTCAAAACCTAAAGTACATGGAAACGATTGCGTCACATCCCACTGTGTTTACCAATTTAAATGTGTGTGTGGTCACACGTACATAGTGAGGAGCAATCGTGATATCAAAATTAGGGTGTGTACCAAAATGGTTGCAGAAACAAATACAATCAAGTAACCCAATAAGAGCAGGGGATAAACATCCATCATCCTCTATTGCTAAACATATAATCGAAACAGGCCATAAGATTGATCTCGGCTTTTGTGTTGTTGTAAAAGGGCGTACACTAAGGTTTATTGAAGCCTTAGCCATACGAAAATTCAAACTCCCTTTGTGTTGAAAAACAGTTTGTTCTTACCTTAAATCTACCTTGGTAATATTGACTTATTATCCAAAGTCATTAGGTCTCGAATTGTCTCCACATTATTATTATTATTACTCTTATCATTATCCTTATCTCCTCTTACCCCATTTCCAGTCTAGTTGACCTTTTATTTTTATATATAAATGCTCTTAACAAGTTTACGTGTGATCAGCTTGTTCGAAATGTATTGCGCTAATATATCACATAGTTCTTATAATCTTTGTCTTCTTATTACATTATCGAAGTTTTATAGTTAGTTTAAATTGAATTGAACACCTTACTAGTGTTGTAAACTATTCATGAATTGTAAACAGTTACAGTTTTGAAATGATTATTTCATACTTATTCAGTTGATTTTGGATATAACTTTATGATGTGTGCTACTGATATTGACATATGCAAGTAGTATATATCATTAATCCAAAGTGAAACACCTGGTAGCAGAAGGTTAAGAAGATCAAACAGAAGAGAATGAGAACTGAGAGTGATTGGTATGGAAATAAACGAACAATGGAATTTGAGACATTTTTCAAATGAAATATTGATTGTATAGTTCTTAGATTTTACTAAGGATGTTCTTTAGGTAGTATTGTATTCATATACATTTGATTGTCCAAACTTCTGTTCTCATTCACTACAACTTAATAATGATTCAGAGAAAGCATACAAGAATTTGTTATCCAATAGCCAGATACAGATCTACTTTACCTACTTTGTCGTTATGCTAATAAACCATACTCTTACTTCTTTTAACAGGTTTTGACTGGCTTTCATTCTCACTATCAATTGAATAAGTCATACTATTTCGATTGAACGTTTTTTAAAAATAGAACTGGCAGTTTTTATTAATATGTAATCAGTTAGATGGTTAATTTCTTTTCTTATAAAATACGTTCAGTTATGATTCCATGAATAATTAATCAGTACTCTCATTTGTATGACTGTAATATTTTGCCAGTTTAATTGATCAGTCATGAGAGACCTTTGAATGATTCATGTCATAAGAATCATCAGGGTACATTATTGTCTGTTACAGGAGTCTATAAATAGGTCTAGCTCAAATCCTATCTTATGAATGTGCACCATAACTAAATGACAATTTAAGCAAAGATGGCTAGTGGCTAGCAGTGGAATCCAGTACGACGCGCGTTTCTTCCTATTTGGGACTCGTCAGCTGGATGTACCTACATCTCAGGGTTGAAGTTCACCCTGGGACTCGAACCCAGTATCGTTCGCTTTAAATGCCATCGCGTTATCCACTTATCTCCTGAGACCTGATAGCCACCTGCTTGTGCGATGGGGTGAAGTTTAAATTCACTTGGTACTGTTTACTTGAATGTTCCCATTGATGTTTAGGACTGAAATTGATCAGTCTCTTATTGGCATATGTGCATACTATGCGTATTGCCTCGATATTGCCTTAATTGAATCAATGGGAAGATTCAAGTAAAAACAATACCAAGTGACAAATTATTTATCATGAATTACATACTATCAATCTATAGTTCATTACACTTCACATTAGCCTATATCATATGTGTATTAGTATGAATAAAAAGCATCATAACGATTTCAGATGATATAGCTCTTGATAACATCATCAATTGATTTTGATGAATCTCGATACAGTTCACTAGCTGTTCATGTGGCAATGTATGAATTCATGTAATCCTTACTTGATGTCCGATATCAGACAAACAGCCTTTCAACTTCCTTTATCTGCAATAAATTTTACTGTTAAACAGTATTCTATATATCTTATGATAAGAAGTTGCCATGGTACGATCGAGAGTGGGGAGAATCAATTGTCCCTCTAGAAATACACTCACATGGCCAAATGCATACAACTACTGCCAGGTAATTCCTACTCATTACCCTCTCATGGTGGGGGTGTTGTTTACGAAGTTGAGAGGACGAAAAGCGAATGTCCGGCATTGGCCTAAACCGGGTTGGTGGACACAGAAAGTTCACGTAGGGGAGTTGGAAACATATTGAAATATGAAAAAAAACACATTCATATATAGAAATGGAAAATAAATTAAGAAAAAATATTTCACTTACTCATTGTATTTAACCCTGATCTAAATGGCTCAGAGAATTTTTTCGATATAACTTCAACTATTGTACTATGATATTTCTATAAATAGAATATAAATGGCATATACAACTATAACATATAGTGTTTTATTTAGGTTAGTTTCAGATTAGTTACTTGGAACTAAAACGTTGAGAACTATCACAGTCATCATCAGAAAGGTATCAGTATTTATAAATAGTTGTTTACGTAGGATACTGAATATCCGTTGGCCAGATACTGCCAGCATTAGCCTACTGTAGGAGAGAACAAACCAACTTCTAGCTGAAGAAGAAATTAGGAAAAGACATTGGAAGTGGATAGAACATAGATCGAGGAAATCATCAAACTGCATCATGAAGCAAGCTCTAGCTTGGAATCGTGAAGGGAAACGTAGAAGAGGGAGACCAAACAATACAATGCGTCAGAAATTGGAAGTAGATATTAAAAGGATTGCCCAGGACAGAGTTATATGGAGAGTGCTGATGGACGGCCTATGCTACTCCATGAGGGATAACAGGCTCAAAGAGGCAAGTAAGTAAGTAAGTATAATTTTCGTAAAGAAATGTGAATGTTGTCATTTAATATGCAGCACTAAGAAACTAAAAGATAGAATACAATAACAGTCCAGTGATCTTTGTTGGTTAATAATTCTTCAATCTATGCTAATTAGTGGTAAAAATTACTTTTCCTAACAATAAGATCTATTAAAAATTTTTGTCTAATTTGAATTCAAGGTTAGAAATTTTTAGCGAGTTAGTTTTCCACGGGATGGGGTCGCTAACACCATGCCCAACCCTTTTTTATCCGGGCTTGGGACCGGCAGTAGCTCCAGAGGGGCTCCAGGTGGAATTTTGAATTAAAGGTAAGCCACGGAATTACCAGTTTTTATCTAGTAACATTGGAATGGAATATATTCATAAGGTATTGAAATATAATAACTAGAATCTTTTTTAAATGTTTTTATTATGAATGGCTTTATCCAATATTATGTCTTTTGGTATAATATAAAATTTCCAGCACGAGGTATTTTGAACAAGTTTCCATTCTTAATTGATCAATCATGATGATAACCTATTGAGTAATCGCCAGTTAAGTGTTAGCAGTTGAGGAATCGATATCTGAATAGTGTTCATTCTTTTCAATGTACATTGTCAGCAACCATGATATCTGTGATGGCGCTCTTTTATAACTTGTACAGCAAAATGGCCATAAACGTTTCACAAATTCAGCTAAATAGGTTATGAGACTAATAGGCATAGTGATGTGTTAAAACAAACAAATAAGAAAACTGGTAACTTGTTGAAATATCTAGATGACAAGAACAGATAGCCCAAATATTAATGCTTGATTAAATTGAATTGGCTTATATGCCTTCTTCGCTTATTTATTTATTTATTTTATTTATTTTAACACAGATATTGGTACAAGGAGGCACCAAATACATATGCGCCACACATATCTCATTTAATATGTGTGAGGGCTGTGATACTACCCGGGTGCCCAAACCGAAGCAGGTGGTTTTCTTAGGGGGCCACACCCGGAGTCTTCGACCTGAGGGTCCGATCCACAAGACAGTGCAGCAACGTAAGGAGATGCAATCCCATGGTAGGCGGTGACCAACAATTGGTTCATACGCCATTTGTTCCTTCAGGATACTGGAGCCCATGTGCACCACTGGTTTGGAATCAGGATTATACAACTCCCTCAGGTGGACTCTCTGTATCCACCAACCCGGTTAAAGCGCCAGACGTTCGCTTTTCGTCTTCTCACGTTCGTAAACAACACCCCCGCCACGAGAAGTCAGTGAGTAAGACTTCCCTGGCAGAGGCTATATACGCGTGGCCATGTGAGGGCATTTCGAGAGGGAGAGCTGACTTTCCCTACTCTCGGCCGTACCAGGGCATTTGGGGGCTTCGTCCCTCTAATTGTCTGTTCCAATCAACGATTATATGAAGTATACGTATTCAAATATCTATTCTCGTCTTTGACTTATTTAATTCCATTATTCACTAATGCAAGTTAAGTTGATGATTGATGATACGTCTATTTCACTAGCGATCATTCATACGATCTAGCTGGAGTCAGATGTTGATGGCAATCAAAAATGATATTATGTAATTATAAAAATTATATTGATTATCTTTATTTTGTATATCATACTTACTGATAAATATAAATCCCATATTTCTTTTACATGATATTTACTTCGTTTTGTTAGAATTTTAATGAATGTTTCAGAATCACCTTTACCTGCACGTCTATATCACACACACACACACACACATACACACACAATAAAAAAGATAATAGGAATTGATTTAATCAATATACTATATGATGTTAATGAATGAAGTCTATTGTACTGGTATTATTAAGCAGAAAGTAAGTAATATTTGTCACTAAGTGAAATTGTTATATCTAGAAGGTTGTTCTTGATATACCGCGTATAACGTGAGCACTACGACTCCAAAACCCTTCCAAGTTTCAATGAGAAGACAGAAGACTAATAAAAGGAATATTATTCCCAGACAATGTCAATTATAGTACAAAATTGTCAGGCATTTATAGTTTTTAGTAAAAACCAAATCATCATTACACTCCTCCAATCCGCATACAGGGGGTCATTAGCATTGTCCAATCGGGAAGCTACACGTAGGAGTTCTAGAATATTCTTCCAAATGGTTATTGGATGGAATATCTCCGGCTCCTTCTGAGCCTCCTACAGCTTCCTCGAGTTCACCCGTGGTCTGTCGTCACAGAAATCAGTTAGAGGGAGGTGAAAAATTTTTTTTTAAATGTTGGAAACGTATTTTCACTTAGTTAGGTACTCATGAATTGTGTACATCTATGATGAAATACTAGATCAAGTTAAAGGCTTTCCAGATTTTCACTAAATACAATGTTTTAAACTTGTCAATGATTCATATATTGAAATTATATCAGTTTGCGGATCAACAATATAATCTTTATATAGTATCACTGTGTACTGGTTGGCGGCCTATGCTCTATTGAGAGTAACAAGCGTAAGTAAGTATCATTATGGCGTGTGCTACTGATGTTGACTGATATAATTAGTATATGTCAACGATCAAAGGTGGAATACCTGATGGCAGAAAGTTAAGAAGATCCAAAATAAAAAGAACCACAACCGAGCATGATTGCTGTGGAAAGAAAGGAACAGTGAAGTCTGTGAAGACTGATTAACATGTCGCGTGGCCCGGATAGCTCAGTGGTAACGTCTCAACATAGTGCACGCAGTGTCGAGTCACCTAGACTGGTGGTTACATTGCAACATGGTCGATAGCATTCGATCTGCACTAATAAGCACTTGACACACATGACATTGATCACCACCTAGCGATCAATTAATTGTGATTACATCTCAGTCCTACAGGAGGTCGATCACGGCTCAGATAGCTCAGTGGTAACGTCTCTCACTGTGAAGCTGGGTGACACGGGATGGAACCTGTCAGGGAGCACTAGCTCCCTCAAGAATACAGGTACACCTTGCTGACAAGTACCAAGTAGGACGAAACCGGGGTCCAAAGTTTCTTGTCGACTATCTACAACCACCATCTAACAAGTAAACACTGTTATGTAATAGTTGCGGATAGTAATATGAATAGATTATTACTGATTATGGTTAATTAACCTTTCAATTCATTTACACTCATCAAGTTTTCTATTCTTCATACGTATGTCTTGGTCAATCTTCTTTTAACAAAATCAAATCAAATATTGATTAGTTATTATTAGTAGACTTACTTTTCTCCAGCATAATATAAATCTTCAACATCTTTTTCAACTTGACTTCGATTAATTAATCTTGATGTACTTCTAGTTCTTACAGCTTCTTCTACTAATTCCAATGGATCTTCATCACGTTTTCCTTGTAATAATGCTACTAATAATTGTTCATATGGTGGTTTTGTTTCTTTGATTATATCAGTTTCGAGTGTACGCTGTGAAGCTTCTACATAAAGATAGTAAATGTAGTCATTTATTCAATGAATATATTATCAATATGTTTTATTAGATATTTAGTTCATTGGGCAAAACTATGATTTATGGAAGAACCGAACAGATTTAAGATAATGGGTCTTTGATTTTGGAGCAAGTTTTGACGCAGGTGCATCCACTCTTTGGGTTCTTCCAAATTCTAATCTTCTGAATTCTTCATGTTCCTTATTTTATCTCTTTCCAAATCTATTTTACTGGATTATACTCTCTGAATAACATCTGCAAACCCTAATGTTTCTGATTACTGCTTATACTTTTACTACATATACCACTATGGGATTTAAGTCGACAATTGTATCTATGTCCTAATGTGGTATGGCAACTTGAACTGATTTATGTACGTAAGAAGTTCTACGTTGTTGCTGACTGACTGATATATAGGCGAGACTATAATTTATGGATGAACCAATCAGATTTAAGATAATATGTCTCGGATTTTGGCGCGAAATTCACTCATCCATTTGGATAAATAGAGTTTTGGCCTTTTTGGCTGATGTCTATTTGTGATGAAAAAGCGTAAATCTAATCCCTAACCTTGATCATAATCCTTATTCTTCAGACTCCTTTATAACCCTCATTTAGCTCTGGTAAGTAGGTAAACACTTTCAAGGTCACTTTGGTGCCACTTAAAGGTCGTCCATAAATTATGGTCTTATCGTTAATGTGTATTATATTTTATAGGTGGCATACATTTTACGTCATTCGGCGAGACTCTAATTTATGAACGACCTTTGAACGAATCTTAAGCCACTTTGACAAATATTAGCCAATCAGCAAACAGTCAGTATTGAATAAAAATGTGTTATACAAAACCAAGGAAATAAAGTGGATACACTTCTTATACGTGGTTCAAAAACTTGTCAAGGTTAGAAAGAGGTTCAGAGGGTCTAATGTCGTAATGCATTCAGTAGAGGAAATCATCCATATGGCTACGGAATAGTCGGCTTCTGGAGCCATGGTAAAGTCTCAAAAACTTTCACCCTCGACCACATAGCTTCAATATTGTTTATGTGCACTCCGGTTGTTGAGCGCACAAAATGCTACTTGTGGATAACGACATGATGCACATAACCGCTCAATTATCATGTTTTGTACAAAACTCCCTGTGAACCGATCGTACGTTAGCATAAAGCACTGAAGTTGGCACCATAACCTTGAAATCTCTAAAACGCTTCTGATTGGCTCGTCCATAAATTAGAGTCTCGCCAATCATTCTTTAACATGATTTTTAATTATACTTTTCTTTTGATATAACATTATACCAACAGGGTTCATCTGGGAATAGTATTGAGAGAAAATAAATAAGTTTCACAGTGTCCTGTGATCATGTTTGCCATTAAAAGTGAGGCTTTTATAAAAGTAAATAAATGTGTATTGTTTTCAACTTTAGTCATCGATCGACATGAAGCTCATTGACAAGTGTTAATAGAAGAAAATGTAACAAGCAATTCAATAAACAATATGGAAGAAGTTTTGATCTCTGAATTGGATGGTTTGATTGTGGAGTTTCTATTGTTCTTCTGAATGACATCGTCAGCATGAATTTCAGGTAAAAGTGAAGTGTTTGAATTTCTTCATATATGACTTAACTTATCTTGTAGACTTTGATCTTGATTAATTATTGTTGACCATTAAATTGTAATTGTCTTTAAAATAGGAACATTTCGTACTTAAGTCAAATTAACTTATTTTAATCCTAATTTGTTGGATGAGAAGTACAACTTGTAAATCCAACCTCCAACATTAAGGGTTGAATTCACGGTCTCATACTTTAGTACATTATTCCTTAGTTTTCAGTCAGATCCATCGGTGAAACTGTTCGAACATAACGATTCGTTAACTTTCTAACTCAAAAAAAACAACTTGATGGTGGTATCAAACGATATAAGAGGAGACCAAGTTTGGATTAAGGATGATACTCAGCATTGACACTGAATAATAAGCACATCCTGATACGTAAACAGATAGATAAAACTCAATGATTTATTGATAATATACTGATTACAACGAACGAATAATTAAGTTCTCATCACTTATTGTGTTAGAATTTAAAGGTTAAGCGCTCGCGTGCGAAACGGAAGGTACTGGGTTCAAATTCCGCCAGTGGGATCATGAATGCGCGCTGCTGAGTCCCATATTTGGACGAAACAATCTTACAGTGCTTCCAGGTTTTCCATAGTGGTCTAGATTTAATTGACTCATGAACTCAACTATTGAATTCATAATGGTCTAAAATTCAGATAAGGCATTCTCAACAGAATGTAGGGAATTTTTTAAAATAATTTATTACTTAATTCATTTTTTCAACCTTTCATGACTTTGAGAGTGTCCACCTACTGACTAAGACAAAATGAGGCTTATAAACCGGTGTGGAAAATTAGAATTGTGATTAATAGTCGATGGTTAAAGTTACGAATTAGATTTTTGTAGTTTTCATCACGAATTAACATAAGCTAAATTGCCAAAACTCTATTTAGTCAAATGTATGAATGAATTTCGCGCCAAATTCTAAGACCTGTTATCTTATATCTGATTGATTCGTTCATAAATTATAGTCTCTCTTCTTTGAAATTGCAGTTGAAAGAAAAGATCTTAAAAATTTGATGCTTTTCCATTAACTACTTATAAATAGTATAAAGTTAATATAAAAAATATTTTAAACGTAAATATTAGAAATCCTTACTTTTTGGCTCTTCTTCCTGAAGCACTATATAAATAGAATCAAGATAAACATATTTATAATAAAGAGTTATTTAGCTAACAGATTTCTTAAATGGTTGATAATACAATGAATTATGTAATAGATAAGCAACATATTTTCTTCGAAGTTACATTTTTTTTCACTAATTCTTCTTATTTTTTATTTGAACACAGATAGATTGGTACAAAAGTGGCGCCGAATACATATGCGCCATACAAGTCACTTGATTTGTGTGTGGGTTGTGATACTATCGGGTGCCAAAACCGAAGCAGGTGGTTTTCTTAGGGAGTCACACCCGGAATCTTCGACCTAAATGTCTGATTCACAAGGCAGTGGAGCAAAGTAAGGAGATACACTCCTATAGTAGCCAGTGACCAATAATTGTATTGTACACCACTTGTTACCTTGAGATACTGGAGCCCATGTAGAACATTGGTTTAAAATTGAGGTTTTCCAACTCCCCAAAGGATCCTCCATAACCACCGACCCAGTTAAAGTGCCGGACATTCAGTTTTCGTCCTCTCATTTTCGTAAACAACAGCCGTGGTGCGAGAAGGCAGTGAGTAGGACTTCCTTGGTAGTGGTTGTGTGCACGTGTCTATGTGAGAGCATTTCGAGAGAGAGAGAGAAAGTTTGTGTTGACTCTCATCACTCTCGGCCGTACCAGGGCATTTGGGGGAATAAACGGAATGTCTCTGCCGGGATTCCTGTAAATTGTTTAAGTAATTAGTCATAATATTGTTTATATAATTATACTTCACAGGAGTTGATTTGATTGCTTTATTCTATTTAATCTCCCTCAACATCCATAGGTGAATAAATCCTTATTTTCACTTGTATCTTTAGTTCTTAGTATACAGTTCAGTGTATAGAATATCATCAACCTTTTGATGACTTTGCAGAAGATTATGTAACATTTTAAATCACATAATCTGTATCAAATGAATATGAGACACATAGAAACCATTGTTTTCTTAGATTTTACTGAACGTTCATCAAATATCACAAGAGTAATCTAAATATTGATAAATCAAGTGAAGGCAAACAAATCACAAGTATGTAAACGTGATTAGATTAATTCAATTGTTATTAGACAAGATCACTAACAACATTTCAGATCATATTTTTAACATATTTAATTTTCAATACTCTTAAGTTGTAAGCATGGATAGTTTGAAATGGAGCTCCTGATATGCTTGAATGCTATTATGACTTCAATTTACTTGGTAAACGGATCGAAGGTTAAAGATACAATGACACGATAGGCTAATCTAATCCGTTGTCCCCGGCCCTGCTAACTAGATAAAGAAGTCTTGATGAGGCGTAGAGAACATATTCTAGAAGCACCCAGAAAATACGTGGTCACTAAGCACACAAATCAAGCTTATTTATACAATGATAGAAACGCCCTTGGGAGAGCCACAAAATAACGTACTAAAAAAATCTGTCAACCAATGACAGTCAAGGATTTCCGAGTGGGAAATGTAAGCTGTGGATCAACTAAGCGTCTCTTGGCGCGAAAACAGAAAATTCAAATTTTCAGAATAAAATTACAAAATCAAGACATTTTCCAAATGAGTTCTGAGGATCTAACATCCTCAACAGCTCCCCTTTGTATAAATGGGTTGGACAACCATCAGATATCTGAAAAATGACTAAATAATATTGTAGACTACAACATATTTAATTTAAGTGGTCACATATTCTAAGAAGAATCAAAGATTGATGTTAGTCATTTTATTGTTTTATTTACAGTGGACAGGATATCATGGACTTAGGTTTTGAGTTATTCAGTAATCGTCAGTAAAGTATACTAGCAATATTGAGGTAACCGATATAATATGTGGTAGTAGGTATACCTTACTGACGTGTTTCAAGTAGTGAGAAATCTGTGTTCAGTGTTTATAGCTGACATCTTTAAAACACCTGAAATCAAAAGATATTGCACGCTATTTTGAGTCCTTTTTATTAGTAGCCTCACTATAACTCGACTGACAGAATTCGGTCTGCCTTAAAGGATCAGATAAACATGAAAGTAATCAGGATTCAGTGGTCAATCAATTGCAGATTGGGTAATCAAACGTTTTTGATTCTCAATGGTTCTTCAGTGATCATTATCAATGTAAACTATTGTATCCTATACGTCTTATATATTGAGAAAACGTATACTCTTCAATCCTTTGATCTTCATGTTTTTATGTTCTTGTGAATGAATATTAACTGGTGCATTTGATAAAGTTAAAAACTAATTAGTAAAGATTTCGATAACATATATGTCAATTATATATAAACAGAATCTCAATATTTAAGAACATTTGGTATTATTGTGTGATGTGCTTTTGATATCGACAGATATAAGTAGTATGTATCATCAGTCGAAAGTGAAATGACTGTCGGCAGAAGGTTAAGAAGATCGAAGAAAGGAGAACAAGAATAGAAATGATTGGTCTGGAGATGAAGGAAGAATGAAGTCTGAGATGATTGATTGACATTTTGCAAATAAAGTCTTTACTGTATGGTTCTTAGATTTTACTAAGATGTTCTGTCATTTTATATTCAAATGTATTTAGTTGTTCCAACTTCTGTTCTCGTTCATTACATTATCATTTCAATAAATAAACAAACTAGACCATCATGGAAAATTGGGAAGCACTGGACGGCCATTTCGTCTTAATGTGGGATTCCTTAGCAGTGCACATTCATGATCCCTTCCTGTGGGACAAAACGACCGTCCACTGCTTCCAGGTTTTCTCCATTGATGATCTAGTTTTAATTGACTCATAAACTCAATTATAATATCCACAACACCCCCTTTCTGAAAATAAACAAACAACAAAATCAATGAAAATTCACATTTACCTTCTTGATATGCTTTTTTCAACATAATAATTTCATTATTATTACAACAACAGATGATCTCATTGACAATATCTGGTTTCTTTAAGCCTTTATATAAATCATGGGCTAATATTTGTATATTTCCACGAAATAAAGTTTTAATAAGACTTTCATAATCACCTTTTGTTGCATTACATAATACATGAACTAAATCCTTTCAAAGAAAAAATGTTAATTCAAAAAAGAAGAAATAATTCATGAATCTGATTACTAAAATAGTATTGATTCAGCGATCTAGAGATTACGAGTTCTCTCGCAAGTTCAATAGGTTTTGGGTTCGAATCTTGTCGGTGGGATCGTGGGTGCGTATTGCTGAGGAATCCCATACTAGGACGAAATCGCCACTCAGTGTATCCAGATTTCCTATGGTGGTCGAGTTTTAAGTGACTCATGAATTCAACTATTAATAATAATGAAATTGTTCAGACAGTTATTGGAAATTAGTAAACACTGGGAAACTTGTTTGTCTTGAGATAGAACTCTCGTTACATGTAACCTCTCAAAACACATTGAGGATCAAGATCAATGCGTTTAGGCCTTTGTAACAATTGTTTTATTTTGAAAAGCCTATTTTCATGATATAACACTTGATAAATTTTCATTATTGTTGTATTTGATTCACCTATGTGATATTCTAATGTATAATTCATGCTGTAAGTTTGTCTTATCTAGTTATTGAAAATGTATCCTTTCTTTTGACAACTCATAAGATACCGTACTCATTATGATGACTGCAGAGTTTATTTAAACTCACTTGGTATTGCTTACTTGAATCTCCCCATTGCTATTTAGGACTGCAATTGATCTGTATCATAATGACATATGTGTATACTGTGCGTATTGCCTTGATATTGCCTTAAGTCACAAGCTTTTTAAGCAAAGTTGGATAGTGACTAGTAGTGAAATCCAGTTTAACGCGCGTTTCTTCTTATTTGGGTTAACGCGATGGCATTTGAGGCGAACGGTACTGGGTTCGAGTCCCAGAGTGAACATCAGCTGCGAGATTCAGATAAATCCAGGAGAAAATATGCGTCCTGGTTTCCATTGCTAGTTACTATCCATCTTTTCTTACAAAGTTTATTGATTGTATTCTACCATTTTTTAAATTATCATTTTCTAGAGAAACACTCGGATGTAAATGTATTGTAAATACTTTCGATGACATCCTTGTCATTGTTTACGAATTTGAACTGAATGATCGTAAAGACAATGTATTCAGGTAACACAGTCCTAGGACATATAATTAACTTCATATTGTTATTTGATTAGAAACATAGTACTTAGCAAAGGTAATTTTTGAGATGGTGGAGAACATTTGTAGCTCGGGTACTTGAAATTTGTGCTGTTGATCTCGTTCAGAAGAACGATGGAAGCTCCATGACCAAACCATTTCGCTTACAGAACAACACTTCAACAAAAAGTTAATTTCTTTGTTTTATATTTACGTAGTTTAAGTAGAACATTTTCATGTACATCAAGATTTAGAACAAAAAAAAGGTTTTCTAATTCTGAGTATCAATAGATTAGTACAGTGTAAACATGGAATAGGAAGATCAATCCATAGTAACTATTTACTCAGTATTATGATAAAAGTTGAAATGAAAGGTGAAACACTTTACCTTTTTATATCGCCTATGAAAAGTTTCTCTTATTTGATAACGTTGTTGTAAATTTCTATGTCCTAGAATTTTAGTGATGGTTTCTTCATCCGTAGCTAGAATAGAATAAATAAGTAAATATATTGAATAATTATTAACAAAGCGGTTATTCTTTCAAGTAAATAGTTTTATGAAATGCAAGCAATTATGTAAATTATTATTAGTAGTAGTATGTGTTGAAGTTAGACATTAACATTATTGGATGACGGCCAGCTCAATGGTCTAAAGGTTAAACGTTCGTGTACAAGAATGATAAGTCCTGGGTTCGAATCTTGTGAAGTGGAATCATGGATGCGCACTACCACGGAGGATTCCCACAATAGGACTAAACGCCCGTCCAGTGCTTTCAGGTTTTCCATGGCAGTCTAGCTTCAATTAACTCATGATTTCAGCTATTGAAATTACTATAATATCCTCGAAAACCCCTTATGATATTATTAGTGGCCTTATTCAATATTATGTATTTTAGTACAATATAGAATTGTCAGCACAATGTATTTCAATAAGTTTCCCTCTTCTTATTTCTTGGTCGATCCTGATGACAAATATTCAGTGGTCGCCAGTTAGATGTTAGCAGTCCAGGAATCGGCATCTAAATAATGTACATTCATTTCGATGCATATAAGCAGCAACTATGATGTTTCTTATTTTACTTTTTTATAACTTGTAGAACTAAACGTCGTAAAATTTTCATCATCACACCTAAATAGGTTATGCCATTAATAGACATCATGATGTATTTAAAAAAAGAGGAAATAGATAACTTGTTGAAATATCTAGATGGTAGGAACATGTAGCTCAGTTATTCAAGCAGGCTACCTTGGTTATTTCTATTTGTGATAGATAAGTAGTGAGTGATATACGATAAATTTGTTAATCGACTAGCTAGTTTGACTGTCTTTTTTGAGATGATGGAGAAGATTTGTCGCTCAGGTGGATGATTTTTATGGAGTTTTGTTGTTTGAGCTGGATGATTTGATCGTGGAGCTTTAATCATTCTTCTGAACGACTTCTACCTAAAGTTTGTACTGATGCTCCACGACTAAACCATCCATTTCAGTGAACAAAACTCCATTAAAAACTATCTTTTTGCTTACTGACCATGATCGATATCTTGGTTAAATGATATTCTCAGGTAAGAGGTAAATTAAGAATGAAGCTTTATAGATTAAGTATTTAAAAAAACAGATATGTGTTAATAGGTTACAACAAGTTTGGACATGTTGAGTAATCAGTGTTATCAGTGAATAACTGATTTATTGATTCATTTCTATTTGAATAGTTGAGATCAATTTTAGTGTTACTTAATCTTTAGGTATCAAGTTATCTCATTTCAAATCAAGGAGAGAACAAAACTTTATCACAATCATCCACTTGAGCTACAAATCATCTCAATCATCTCAGAGATTATTCAGTACAATCTTCATTAATTGTTTGAATTCAAATTAGATAGACTTTAGCATATCATTTGTTCTTCATATATGATAACATAGTCTTCATCAATCAATCTTGTGTAATGGGGACAATCGAATGTATTTGAACATACAAATTACAGAATCTCTTAGTAAAATCTGAAATCCATACAGTAGATACTCCATTTGCAAATTGTCAATCAATCGTCTCAGACTCCATTGTTCTTTCGTTTCCGCATCAATCATTCTTTGTTTTCGTTCTCTTTTCTTCTATCTTCTTAACCTTCTGCTACCAGACATTTCACTTCTCGATTGATGATACATACTACTTATGTCTATCGATATCAGTAGTGCATACCACAACGCGATAGAATATAAATCGTGAATCAATATGTTGATGAATTTAAGCTATCACTCCTAAAATCTAAGAAGGATACACTGTAAAAACGCACCTTAAACAATACTTTGTGAATCCGATAAATGTTGAATAACAGGAGGAACAAATGAATTGATCAATATAATTTCATGTGCATCAGGATGAAATGCTGATTTAAATCTCATTTAAAGCTTAGAAAATACCAGATTATTCATTATTCAGTCTACCATAATACCTGACACTATTCAGTACATCATCTTTTATTGATCCATGATACTTGTTGTTGAATCATTTAAGAAATTAGTAATGATATTTATGGTATTATCAACTACGAAATCGGAGATAAGAGTTAATGTTAGTGTCAAAACTTTGACTATTTAAAAATATCTCAATCAATTCAATCTGTTGTTTTAAATATTCAAATTTGCCTTTGTTCGTTTATTCACTCATTCTTATATTTTATACTGGAACTGAAACAGCCTCCAAATATTCTGGTGTAGCCGAAGGTGGGGAGAGTCAGCTCTCCCTTTCGAAATACAATCACACAGCTACGTGAATACAACCACTGTCAGAGAAGTCCTACTCACTGACTTCTCGTGTCATTACTGTTGTTTACGGAATGGAGATGATGAAAAGCGAATGTCCGGCGCTTTAACCAGGTTCGTGGACACGCAGAGCCTGATTCCAAACCAATCGTGCACATGGGCTCTAGTATCCTGAAGGAGCAAATGGCATATGAGGCAATCGTTATTTATCGGCTACCATGGGACTGTATCTCTTGACGTTGCTTCACTGCCTTGTGGATCACACTTTTAGGTCGAAGGCTCGGAATGTGGCCCTCTAAGAAAACCACGTGCTTCGGTTTGGGCGCCCGAGCAGTATCCTAGCCCTCACTCATAAATCAAGTGATTTGTGTGGCACATGTCTATTTAGTAGCTGCTTGTACTAATGTTTATGTGTTTAAATAAATAGAACTGAAACAGCCAATTACTATAGGTTGTACAAAAATAGATCCAAATCAACGGATACACAGTCACTTAATGACACTTTATCGTTATTTAATCAACAATAAACACATAATTGGAAGGGAACAAATTTGGTTTACAAATATAATAATGAAAGCATATTTAATTTTATGTATACTTACACAGTAATTTACAAGCGTTATGTAATTGTTCTGCATCATTTTCAGCGCTAATACGATCAGGAAATGTAATACTTGGTCCAGTTTGATGACTTATCCTAAAATAAATGATTATTTTTTAATGGTAACAATTCATTCCTTCGTTTACTTATTTCATTAAGAATAAAGAACAAACAGCAAATTTCAACTCTTTTTGATTAACACCAAGTAACAACTCAAGTTATTCAATTCACCTAGGATAATTTCAAGTTAAATGTTAAACATTGGTTATCAATCAATCAATCAGTTAATCATGGAAAATCTGGAAGCACTGGACGGCCGTTTCGTCCTAGTTTTCCATGGTGGTCTAACTTCAATTAACTCATGATTTCAATCAAAAACTTAACAATCTCCACAACCCCTAAACTGATAATTACCATGTGCTCACTAATGGCTGGCTTCATGAGAAAATTCTCGGAGTTCTGGTGAGAAGTTGTGACCAGTGGAGCTAATCCGTGTCGGGTAGAAACAGGTGTCTACTTCAGTACAGTGTAAAATGGTCGCTCAATTTCGTGGATTGGTTGAGGTTAGATATTAACACCAATGGATGCCGGCTCAGTGGTCTAGTTGGTCAAGCACCTGGCGCGGGACTGGTAGGCCCTGGGTTCGAATCTTGCGGTGTGCGGGATCGTGGATACGCACTGTTGAGCAGTTTCAAAATAGGACGAAACGGCCTTTCAGTGGTTCCAGGTTTCCCATGGTGGTCTACCTTCAATTGACTCATGATTTCAATCAAAAACACGACAATCTCCACAACCCTTAAACTGATAATTAGTCAACCAATCAATTAAACACTATATACAATCAGAAGTATCTGTGAATTGGTTCAAATGGTTACAACCTGTGAGCATAACAAGATAAAGTTGTTAAAACAAATCAAAGGATAGCAAAAGTAGTAGCAATATTAGTAGTTGTAGTAGTATTAGGAAAGATAAGAAATGGAAGATATGGCTGAAAAACAAAAAAAATAATTTAGAAACTTCGAATCTAACAAAAGGAACTATTTTGAACAATGTCATCTTTAATCATTGATTATGAGTATTGTGTAAGATTCAATCATGTAGTTTATATCCACCTACAAGATGGACTCGCTAAAACAGTTGTATTCTCTGAATATTACAACTAAACTTCTTAAGTAATTTGATTTCCTACATTAAGTTTGTTTATTTAGTCTTGGAACTTTATTTAGACCGTTTTCTCATCATTCTCATGTCTGTTCATATTATATTTTAATTAACTACATTTTTGTAAGTATGTTGCTACTGATATCGATAGATATAAGTAGTATGTATTATCAATCGAGAAGTGAAATACCTGGTAGCAGAAGATCGAAGAAAAGAAGACGAGAACAGAGAATGATTGGTGTTGAGACGAAAGAACAATGAAGTGTGAGATGATTGATTGATATTTTGCAAAAGGAACAGTCAATTTTGAGACGATTGATTGACATTTTGGAAATGAAGTCTTTCCTGTATGGTTCTTAGATTTTACTAAGATGTTCTGTAATTTTGTGTTCCAATACATTCGGCTGTACTCCGCTAGTATTCTTGTCCACTACCGTCCTACATGATTTAAATTATTTTGATCTAGTTTATTAGTTACATATATCAACTATATATATATGACCTAAGTGTTCTTCTAACCTAGTTCTACACCAGTAAACTTAGCCCATTGAAGTGGACAATAGTTAACCAAATGTACGATATGTCTTAGCTACCTCAGTTAATGAAAATTTACAGGTTCATCAACCAACTTGTCATATTTGTCTACTATCTTAGCAAATTTAATGGTCCATAGCATTCGATCTGCACTAAATATGGAATTGACACACGTGACATTGATCACCACCCAGTGATCAATCAATTACGATTACATCTCAGTCATACAGGAGGTCGATCACGGCTCAGATAGCTCAGTGGTAACGTCTCTCACTGTGAAGCTGGGTGACAAGGGATCGAACCCGTCAGATAGAACCAGTTTCCTCAAGAATACAGGTACACCTTGCTGACGAGTGCCAAGTAGCACGGAACCCGGGTCTATGGTTTTTTGTCGACTACCTCCAATCACCATCTAACGGTTGATTGACATTTTACATATGAAGTCTTCACTGTATGGTTCTTAGATTTTACTAAAATGTTATATAATTTGTGTATTCAAATACATTCGATTGTCACCCACTTTTGTTCTAGTTCACTATAGAATTACACTTAACTGATCAAAATGAATATTCTACTGAATAACTATCATATCAATATTAAGTCATTTGTCATATCAAGTGAATAACATACAAATATTACGTAATATTAATGGTTGATACACTGAAGTAAACATGATCTCAATATTGATCTCATCCTAACAAACTACATCCAGTTGGTAGTAGAGATCAACATAAACAAACATACTACCGGTTATTTGTTATTAAAAATGTTATAATCCTAAAATACCCAGTAAATTTACTTGGTGTTGGTTTATGTGTATCTTCCCACTGATGGTTAGGACTGCAATTGATCAGTCTCTTATTGAGAAATGTGCGTCGATATTGCCGTAGGTCACAAGCTTTTTAAGTAAAGATGGATAGTGGCTAGCGATGAAATCCGGTTTGACACGCGTTTCGTTCTATTTGGAACTCATTAGCTGGATATACCTGCATTGCAGAATTGATGTTCACTCTGGGACACGAACGCAGTATCGTCCGTTTCAAACGCCATCGTGTTATCCACTTAGCTACTGAGTCTTAATAGCCACTTGTTTGTGAAATGGAGTGAAGTTTAAAATCACTTAGTAATGTTTGCTTTTATCTTCCCATTGTTGTGTTGGGACTTCAGTTGCTCAGTTTTCTGTTGGCATATACGCATCCTGTAAGGATGCGTATATAACTTTTAGTCACAGGCTATTTTGAACCCTACACCGTGAAAAACCTGAATGTACCGGACAGCCGTTTCATACTAGATTCAATTGATTCATTAATTCAACTATTAAATTACTATAATATCCACAGAAAATCCTTATCTGATTAAAATCATCATATGTTCACTAATGACGGTCTCCAAGAGGTATTTCTTGGAGTTCTAGTGAGAAGCAGGTTCTGTTGCGAGATATTAACTTGCTGATGACCACAATGGATGTATCGCTCAATTTCGTGGATTAGTTAAAGTTATACACCAACACCATTGGATGCCAGCTGGCTTAGTGGTCTAGTGGTTAAGCGTTCTCGTGCAAGACCGATAGTTCCTGGGTTTAAATCTCGTAGGGTGGGATCGCGGATGCACACTGCTGAGGAGTTCTACAATAGGATGAAAAGGCCATCCAGTGCTTTCAGGTTTTCCATGGTCTATCTTTAATTGACTCATGATCTCACCTATTGAAATCAATGCATGTTTATTATTTATAATCAACTAACGAAAATTGTTTGTTTTATTTTCTTGCAACTAAAAAAGATTCTGTTTGTTTGATACTCAGTTTCATTGTTATGTAACTAACTCATAGTTACCTGAATTCCGGATATTAATAATGGTAATAATAAGATTTCGTGCCTTTTGTGCATAATAAATTATTTCAATGTACAATATCTCGTAGATGGCACTGCTGCTTACTTACTTACTTACTTACGCCTGTTACTCCCAATGGAGCATAGGCCGCTGACCAGCATTCTCCAACCCACTCTGTCCTGGGCCTTCTTTTCTAGTTCCATCCAATTCTTGTTCATTTTTCTCATGTCTATCTCCAGTTCTCGGCGTAATGTGTTCTTTGGTCTTCCTCTTTTCCTTTGACCTTCAGGATTCCATGTGAGGGCTTGTCTTGTGACGCAGTTCGGTGCTTTCCTCAATGTGTGTCCTATCCACTTCCAGCGCTTCTTCCTGATTTCTTCCTCCACTGGGATCTGGTTTGTTCTCTCCCACAGTACGTTGTTGCTAATAGTGTCCGGCCAATGGATCTGAAGTATTTTGCGTAGACAACTGTTAATAAACACCTGTATTTTCTGGATGATGGCTTTTGTAGTTCTCCAGGTTTCTGCCCCATACAGTAGAACTGTCTTGACATTTGTATTGAAAATCCTGACCTTGGTGTTGGTTGACAGTTCCTTTGAGCTCCAGATGTTCTTCAGTTGTAAATATGCTGCTCTTGCTTTGCCGATCCGCGCCTTCACATCTGCATCAGATCCACCCTGTTCATCAATGATGCTGCCCAAATATGTAAAGGTTTTTACATCTTCCAAATCTTCTCCGTCAATTGTGATTGGATTGGTGCATGCTGTGTTGTATCGGAGAATCCTGCTTTTCCCTTTGTGTATGTTGAGACCTACTGCTGCTGAGGCTGCTGCCACGCTGTTTGTCTTCTCCTGCATCTGTTGTTGCGTGTGGGATAGAAGGGCCAGATCGTCTGCGAAGTCTAGATCATCCAACTGCATCTTAGATGTCCATTGTATCCCGCGCTTTCCTTCAGACGTTGACGTCTTCATGATCCAGTCGATCACCAGGAGAAAGAGAAACGGTGAGAGTAAGCAACCTTGCCTAACACCGGTCTTCACTTCGAACGACTTTGTCAACTGTCCTCCATGCACAATTTTGCAGTGTAATCCATCATATGAGTTCTGTATGATATTGACTATCTTCTGAGGCACGCCGTAGTGTCGAAGAAGTTTCCATAGTGTTGTTCTGTCCACGCTGTCAAATGCCTTTTCGTAGTCAATGAAGTTGATGTAGAGTGATGAATTCCATTCAATTGATTGTTCCACAATGATCCGTAGAGTTGCGATTTGGTCTGTACACGATCTATCCTTACGGAATCCTGCCTGTTGGTCTCGAAGTTGGGCGTCTACGCAGTCCTTCATCCTGTTTAACAATACCCTGTTGAAGACTTTTCCAGGTATTGAGAGAAGAGTGATGCCCCTGTAGTTATCACACTTGCTGAGATCGCCTTTCTTCGGTATTTTGATCAGAAGTCCTTCTTTCCAGTCTGTTGGTACTTGTTCCTCATCCCAAATCTTATTGAAGAGAATGTGGAGTATCCTTGCAGTTGCCGCTACGTCTGCTTTTAGTGCCTCTGCCGGGATGTTGTC